GATGAATCCCGAAGACCAAGAAAAAATGGCCTTTATCACCAATCGAGGTACCTACTGCTAATGCCATTCGGCCTAAAAAACACAGGAGCGACCTATCAAAGGCTAGTGAACAAAATGTTTACTAACCAGCTCGGTATAACCATGGAAGTCTACATAGACGACATGCTGGTCAAGTCCGCATGAGACACATACCACGTCGCACAACTCAGGGAATGCTTCAAAATCTTAAACCAATATGAGATGAAGCTCAATCCAGCTAAATGTACCTTCGGAGTCGCCTCAGGCAAATTCCTTGGCTACCTAGTCACCAAACGAGGAATCGAAGTGAACCCGAAACAAATTTTGGCTTTCCTCGAAATACCGTCTCCCAGGATAACTCGGGAAGAACAACGTTTGACCGGTCGGGTTGCAGCCCTCAACCAGTTCATCTCATGGTCAACCGATAAATGTCTCCCATTCTACCAGCTCCTCAAAGGAAACAAAAAATTTCAGTGGGACGAGAAATGCGAGGAGGCATTAACCCAACTCAAAACCTATCTCACCGAGCCCCCCATCATAGCTAAACCAATCGAAGGACAACCCTTATACCTTTATACAGCGGTCTCTCCAGCTGCGGTAAGCGGCGTGCTGGTCCGAGAGGAACTCAACGAGCAAAAACCAATCTTTTACATAAGCAAAATGCTTATCGATGCCAAGACTAGGTATCCAGCCATGGAAAACTAGCACTAGCTGTAGTAATGTCGGCTCGCAATCTCTGACCTTACTTTCAGTCGCACTCAATCGTGGTAATAATCTCGCAACCATCGCAAACTATACTCCACAGTCCCAGCCAGTCGGGACGCCCCGCGAAATGGGCCATCGAGCTCAGCGAGTACGACATCTAATATCGAACCAGGACATGTGCTAAGGCCCAAGTCCTGGCAGACTTTATGGTCGAGCTAGCTCCAGAAGCCAGCTTCGAAAACCTATCCTCCAAAACTTAGACCCTCTATGTCGACGGAGCATCCTCTAAACAAGGCTCCGGAGTCGGGGTCCAGCTCACCTCCCCAACCGGAGAAGTCATGGAACAATCTTTTCATCTCGGATTCAACTCGTCTAACAACGAGTCCGAGTACGAAGCACTAATAGCCGGGCTCCGGCTCGCAATCGGCATTGGTGCGAGCGAGATCAAAGCTCACAGCGACTCGAGACTCGTAACCGGCCATTACAGCGGCGAGTACGAAACAAGAGAAGAACGCATGGAAGCCTACTTGGCTATAGTTCGCAGCCTCGCAGAACAGTTCACTCGCTTCGAGCTCGTCCATATACCCCAAGGAGAAAACACGGCAGCAGATGCCTTGGCAGCTCTAGCTTCCACCTCGGACCCAGCAATAAAGCGAATAATCCCAATCAAAGGCATTGGGAAACCTAGCATAGACATATCACTCAAAACTCCGACTGTGAACGCAATCACCACGCGACCATCAACCCAGTCGCAAACGCAACAATCCCAAGACTCGGGACCTTCCAACACAACTAGCCATCCCTATGAGGATGAGCCGGCTAACTCTACACCAGAGGATGCGGAGTCGAACCCAACCTCCTCACAAAGTACTCAGGAGTCAATAATCCACACAGTACCGACTGCACTCGCAGACGAATCAACCTTCAAAGACGAGTTCGTCACCAGAGCGGACTGGAGGATACCCATCCTCGAGTATATCATAAACGGAATAGCTCCCCCCGACAAGTGGGAAGCTCGAAAGCTCAAGGTGAAATGCGCCCGCTACAGCGTGTTATTCATTGACAAGTTATACAAGCGAGGTCTATCCGAACCTTACCTCAAGTGTGTACACGGTGAGGAAGCCTACACTGTAATGTCCGACACTCACCAAGGCCTCTGCAGAAGCCACGCTGGAGGTCGATTGCTCGTTATTCGAATTAAAAAACTTGGCTATTTCTGGCCGACCATGATAGCAGACTGCCAAAGACTATCTAAAAGCTGCGACAAATGTCAAAGGCATGCCCCGATCATACATTGTCTAGCAGAAAGACTGTCGTCAATCTCTGCACCCTATCCATTCATGAGATGGTCAATGGACATAGTAGGACCCATGGTCCCCTCAGGACCAAAGCAATTCAGGTACCTGCTGGTGCTCACCAACTATTTCACTAAATGGATAGAAGCTAAAGCTTATCAGCAAACAACCGAGCTCCAGGTACGCGGCTTCATCTGGAAAAACGTGATTTTTCGTCACGGACTTCCTTATGAAATCATGACGGACAACGGTTCGCAGTTTATCTCGCGAAATTTCAAAGACTTCTGAGCCAAGTGGAAGATAAAAATCTCCTACTCCACACCTCGTTATCCTCAAGGAAACGGGCAAGCCGAAGCAATAAACAAAACCATCTTGAGTAACCTCAAGAGACGGCTTGACGCCAAGAAAGAGAGGTGGTCCGAACACATTTCGGCCATCCTCTGGGCTTGTCGAAATACACCTCACAAAGCCACCAGTGAAACACTGTTCTCATTATCTTACGGGCTGGAAGCTGTGATCCCAACCGAAACTGCAGTTCCTAGCCTTCGCCGGACTCTGTGCCCGACGAACACCGAACTAAACGAGCAGCTCTTAAGGGACCAGCTCGATCTGATCGACGAACATCGAGATCAAGCACTGATCAGGACCCAAAACTACCAGCAGGCCGCAGCTCGCTACTACAACTCTAAGGTCAAACACTGGAGATTCAACGTAGGAGACTTAGTTCTGCTCAAGGTACAAGACTACACCAGAGAGCCCGGTGCTGGGAAACTAGGAACCAACTGGGAAGGTTCCTATCACATCACCGAGGTAGTTCGCGACGGCGTCTACAAGCTCATAAAAGTACGAAACGGGGTGCCCGAGATAAGACCTTGGAACGTAATAAACCTCAAGAGGTATTATCACTAAAGCACTTTGGAATCAAGCTGCAATCTTAACGATCTCGGTCCAGCTCTCTTAAGTCAACATATGACTAGGCAATAGTTCAACTTGAACAACCGAAAGCAAGAGGTGGAAATAATTCAAAGACACCAACGCCCAAATTCTTCCAAAATAAAGCCCTTTCGGGCTAAGATAAGTTCGAAACAAAGGATAACAGCCACCGGATCTTGTCGTTCGAGCTACGATCTTGGAGATCGACCTCGACCGTATGATCTGATGGATTCTTCGTCTCTCGTGGCCTCGACCATTGATCCTTAATGATTACTTACCATCATGGCAACAACACGCGAGATACGAAATCTTCTAGAAAGAAACCACTCGCCCCCCATTAAAGCTCGAACTCGTTTTCGTTAATGGGCTAGGGGGCAATTGTTGGAGCAGGATTTGTCACCCCAAATCTGGCCCACTTAAGCCCAACAACAATATCCTAAAACTAAGTTCAGTTGACTGGGCCTCATCCATACGGCCCAGGTCCAATCACTCACAATGGTCCAAACCTGATAATCAGTGTTCCGTTCGTCGAGGTCGAGCTCCAGCTCGACCTCGTCCCGAAGAATAAGGAAGAATCCGGACCAAGTCTGAGCATATTCTCACCAGTTCAAACGAGCCCGAGATTTCCGGGAGAAGCTGCTGCACGTGGCCGAGATTTCTGGCTGAAGCTGCTGCACATGGCCGAGATTTCCGGCTGAAGCTGCTGCACGTGGCCTAGATACACGCTGGAGGTTGAAGCTCGATGAAACAAGCTATATAAAGGACACAAACTGTCAAGTTTTAGGGGAGCTCAGACTTCGCCGGGGGACCTTGGGCTTGATCTCTTTACGTACTTTTTTACACTCGAAAACACTGTAACTGCTCTTTTAGCTCTTTTCAGTTCATCTTCTTCATCTAAATCCTTGTAACCGTTTCATTCGACCGATTAATATTAAAGTCCTTATTTCAGTTAGTGCTAACTTATACAGTCAATCTGTTCGAGGGAATCTAGCACTTAATTCTCTAAAATTCTTTCTTTACAAAAACATATATATTTCTTAGTGTGGATTTCTATATCCACATCTATGATAGGTAATTGTACATGTTCTGTTTGTACCATGTTAGGAATCCTTAATAAATTTATCCCTAATAATCTACAAATTTTGTATATTCTAAAGAACCAGATCAAAGTGATTTCCACAGATAGCTCATGAACATTATATATTGATATATTATATTCTTTTGTGCCTAATTTTTGATTGATATTTCATATTTTGGTTATATTTAAAGTCCACAAATCTAGAGCGATGACGATGCCAAAATAATTAGTTTCACTAAACGAGTTTCTTCTAAAAGCAGCCACGAATCGGTCTACATGGTTTTTTGTACGCAACCAAACATTGAATTAAGTAAGGATCTAATCTATTAGTATTAGCCAATCTACTCAACAACTTCATTATTAAAGTCCTGTGTAATATTCGTGTTTCTATGCATATTTTCGCATGCACGAACTGAATCCACTCGCAATCCGACACGAACACAAAATCTCCGTCGCGACAAGAAACAGAGAGCACACGTAATTATTGAGCTCCGTAGACTTTCATGCAAAATCTAGCTAACAAAAATCGAGATGTTTTCTTTAAACCACAAACAAAAGCTTTTACTACTTAATTTTGCTGATAACTTAACAATATCTACCAAAAAAAATTCATAAAATTATTTTGAGTCATGTAAATAATTTTTTTTCATATAAAAAAATGTCTTGCAAAAAAATAACCTCGTATTAATTTCAAGAATTATAGACAAAGTTGGAATCAATTTTATTTTCTCGTTTTTAGCTAATATTTTCCTAGTTTCCACCATTCTGCATGAATGTAGTGTTTCAGTTGACCGATTCCTTAAATGAATGTAGTTTCTATATGAAATTTGATTATTAGTTCTTCCAAAACTCATTAAATTATTTAATCAAATACAAAAAAGAAATTGTCTTCCTAAAAACTTAAACACGTTTCTTCTTCTTCTATCTCATCTTTATTATCTCCACGTACACACACACATTTCTCGTGGCTAAAATGTACTGCCATTAAAAATCTTAAACTACCAACTTTTCTTATATAATTACCCGTTAATATATAAAAGTATGACCGGAAAACAAGAGATAAAGTCCAACGTTTTATTGCCTTCATTATTATCCATCAACTTGATCACATAAACATGATCACACGCGTACGCATACATGATACACTCGCACACACACACACACATACAATAGAGACGAGTCTCTTGATTAATGCTCCTCGGTGACCATCTGGATTGGGAGCTGGTGGGTCCCGGTAGTACCGAGTCTAGCCCTAGGACAAAACACGACCCTGTAATTAGTGTTGGTGCAAGTGAAAGTGCTAGTCGGGTCGTCCTGTGGGTAGCTGTAAGCATCCTTACACCTCTGTTTGAAAAACCTCGAATATTCTGTGTCGCTACATGATCCCTGCCCGTTTGTACAACAGTACTGGTTCGTCTTAAAAACGGTGCACGGGTTGTTGCAACCGCCTGGTGCTCTTAACACGTTCGGACACTGTCCATTTATGTCCGCGGTACATAGTATCCGGTGGCAACTCGAGGTTGTTGGGCTGGAGACAATACACAACAAAACAAAAAAAGTTATATACAAATACAAGCATTAATTATCGATTCAAAAACGTTTTTCAGATACAGCAACAAGATATATATTCAAGAGAGGGGCGGCAAATAAAATATATAAAAAAAAAACAGTTTCAAGAAAAATGTTTTATTCTTACCTAAACTCCATGGGAATGTTAAATCCATCGACAAGTGAAATATCGTAGAAGTCTAAGTTGTTGAATTGGTTCAACGCATACTCAGCCAACGTGTTTGGTGGCTGCCCCCAACCGGTACACTGAAGCCCACCAGTACAGTCACCTGTCTCACATCGGCCACGGCCCGAAGAATCAAAGTTACAGTTGGTCCGACCCCAAATCCGTGCCATAGATGTGCCGGCCGGGACATTTAGCGTCCATGACTGGCCGGAATTAAGACGCCGGCCACCTCCGGGGCTTGCCGCGGCCCATACGGTGTAACCACATTGGTTCAGGATCTCGAATGTGGCGGCACTTGCAGTGGAGATGAAGAAAAGGATGGAGAAGATGAACGTAGCTACGTTTGCCATGTTTTTTGTTTGACTACTTGTGTGTGTGTGAGATCTTTTTTATAAAACATTTACCAATAGCCATAGATTTTATATAGAGGTAAGAAGTTATGTATTGGTTTGTTTGTTGTATTATTTAATTACAAGTACTATTGCATTTTTGAAGTTATCTATATACAATGAATGTTAATTTGCTTTCATCATTTTTATAGATAAATATAATGAGGGAAACTTGAAAAGGCAGGGGCGGCTTGACAATGGACTAACGTTAAAGACTTGTTTCTAGATTGATGTAGGATATATACTACAATTGACTTTCTTGTTTCTAAAATAAAATACAAATTATACACGTCGTCACTATATTTTAAGAGATTTAGGTTGGATATTTTTTTATTCAATCATGTAACATAAATTTGTATGTTATAGACTTGTAATTATATATATATATATATTAAAAATAAAGATAAATTTGCATCTTCATTACTAATTTAGTTGATGTAATTGCCCACAACAATTTTAAGTATTTCATGCTTGCACGAAATAACTATCATGCGTGGTGCACTGCACACCATTTTTAATAATTCTAGTTTGGAGAAAAAAGAAGATATTTCAATGTCAATTAAAAATATAAGATATAGGTACATATATTTTGAGATTAGCGGACGTTTGTTTATTGAAAACAAATTATGTCACCGTTAATTAAACGGATAAACGGCACGACATAAACTATATTTTGTTATCATTATGATCTTACTAGTTTGGATGTTTTTTTTTCTTGTCTAAAGATAGAAACATATAAATTCTTATATATAATGTAAGACAAAAGTTTTAGTTTCTTCTTTTTTTTTGTTAAACAAAAGTTATAGTTTCGGTAATTTTAATATGGGAAGAATATATGTAATTTTACAGAATATGAGTTTTCAACATTATATTAATAGAATTAGCTTTCATCTTTGCCAAAAAATTGAATGTTACATTTTTCAAAAATTTAAAGTTCATTGTTTGATCGTTTAAAATGAATAATAAACATAATTTCTGTAAAACTTTCTTTTTGTAACAATAAAAGATATAAATGTGAACAAAAAAATACCTTAATTTAGAGAATTTTATCCATCACATTATATCCTATAATAATCATCATCGTGTTTACATTATTCTTCGAGAACTTTTTCTAAGAATTCCTTCATTGGAGGTATTGAACGTAAGCCTACACCACCTCTGCATCTGTTTGCCTTAGAACATCCTCGTGTATAAGGATTCGCTTGTTCGCGCTTATAACATGCGGGGGTGGGAAATCTTGGATCACAACCTTTACCTTTGTTGAATAGATCTCTATATTTAAGATATCTATCTTTTTGCGCATCGATGCTACTTGTTAACAAACATACCACAATCAAGAATGCCACAAACATAAACTCTTTTGTTTTCATCATGATTTTACTAGTTTGAATTGTTTTTTCTTGTCGAAGGATTGGAAAAGCCATTCTTATATATGTATGCAAGATACACGTTATAGTTCTAGTAGCATTAATACATAAGTCCATTTTTGTTTCGGTTGAATATCACCAGTTCAGGTTCTTTTTTTTTATGAAGAAATCACCAAATTTTGGTGTTTAATTTGACTGTGGTTTGGTTTAATTTGATTGACTCTAGTCGATAAACTTTTTGGTTTGGTTTAATTCAATTTCAGATATGATTTTTTTTTTTTGTCGTCATCTCAGCTATGATTTAAAGGGATATGTATGTATATAAACAAATCCGAGTCAGTTTCTGCTTTTCTATTTTTAATATTTGGATCGGATTTTCTAGTATTATAGATTTAGTTTGGTTATGATTGGTTTAACCAAATTAGATACTCCTAAATCCATTATATTTGTAAGTACAGAGCAGTTTTACTTTTTCTATTAAAAGTGATAATAAATGATGTCAGTTTGTTAGGAGAAAAATGCATTTAATCAAACTAATACTGAAAGTAACAGCTAATTTGATGGAAATATTAATGTTTTATTACTTAATAAAAAGTCAGTTTTCAAAGTTTTGAAAACATACATTATTTGTCAAATTAAAAATATCATATTATTAAACTGAATTTCCCAAGAAAAATCGTATCATTAAAAATAGTTTTACAGGGAAGTAAATTTTAGTGGGAATTTTTTCTTACCGTAAAACAATAGTACAGTTTGAAAGTCACATATGATCATTGGGCCTTGGGCTTTGGAAGTATATGACATGTTTTGTCCATATTTAGCCCTACAATATCTTTTGCGTCTTCGTGCATCTGGTTTTCAATCTCTCAGCTGTTGTAATGTAAGATCCCTTCATAAAACACGCCAAATGAAATGTTTATGTCAGTTTTATATTGTAATAGATGCAGAACTGAACTGGACATGGATATGTAATAAAACCCGAATATTATTTTGAGTGTTTTTCTTTTTGTTTTGTGTTTTGGCGTAACCAGCGTCTTTGAAATCCATTGATTATTTTTAGTGGAGAAAAACAAATTGCACAAGAAAAAGATTTTTTAAGTCGTCGGTTCGTGGCTAGACTCAACAGAACAAGCCCATAAACCAACCATGCATAGTTTAAATTCTAACTAGACTTTATCTTGCAAGAAAAGTTAAGTCAACTAGAAAAATAAATATCAAGAACTATTGGTCATACAAGTTACAACCATGCATATTATAAGATTTTAACTTGGAAGAAAAAAGGTATATATATATATAAAGATTCTAACAAACTTTCGCAGAAACTTCATGTAAATCTTTAATCCATATGAATCAGCCCTGCTACCTTTAAATAATATATCTCAGTGGAAAATAAAACCATTTAGATGAATCTCTCTTCAATTATTTTTTTTGTCATTCGAAAATTGATGAAAGAACATAAAGATCACGTAGTGGTGATCACCTACGGACCATCGTCGGAGGGTTCAGTGACGGCGTCACCAATATCTCATCAGACCCCGTCTTCGTTTGCATATTCCGTAACGCCGTCAGCATCGAGGTTCAGCTCCCGACGAGCGTCGGTTAATGTTTCCGGTTTAGTTCTCCGGTTTATAACTTTGGTTCTCTGTTTTGTCTCTGCCCTTTCGCTGGCAGTGAATGTTCATCGGCCTTCACTGAGACATCAGACACAGAGCTCCTCGAGTTTCGCTTCATATCCTGAACTATTGTAAGAACCTTATCCTCTTTTAGACTTTTTAATACTAGTTTTTCAGATTTATTTCCTATAATAGTATAATATCAGACAATTTCAATTATTATTTTTAATATGCATGAAATGATTTACAATATTTATATATATATATAACTTTGCACGCGTGTTGGATGATATATATAGTGAATCCATGACCGTTAAAAAGTAAAGTAATGTACTTAAATGATCATATCTTAGTCATTTATTTGTATTTTTTTTTAGCTTCTTTATGTGTAAATTTTGTGGTTAATTCATCGCCCATTTTTTTTTTGTAAGTATCATGAGTTTAGTGGGTGTTTTTAAAAATTATCATGTTATTTTATCCGATATTACATTATGTATATTTTTATGTATTTTTAAGTGCGCGATAAAAATACAATATCTATGAGACTTTGCATTGACCATATTACCACCTTGTTTTTTTTTTTTTGCGAATTTTGACCTTTAACGTCTTCAATACCAAACAACCCTAGCTAAGAGATCCATGAATAATCAGAGTAAACATAGTGAAAAGAGTGTGAAGAAACAAATTGGTGGTTTTGTTTTTACATTTAATTTATATTGAGAACTATTGAAATTATTGTAATAAAAGAAACATTCTATGTAGGTATTGTTTTGGTGTAGCAGTGACAGGATTCGTGTATACATCTCTGCAAACTTTCAAAGGAGTTTGTGATATAACCCACAGAGGAGTTTTAATCTCTGAACCTCTCTCGGATTACATCAGCTTCATTCTTGATCAGGTATTTTTTTTCTTTGTTATTGATTAATCAGACGCATATATAATAAAAAAAATCACATTTATGTAGTCAACAGTAAATATTCAGAAGAGTTGACAAAAAAAAGTAAATTAAATATCAGAAGGGCTGGGCTAATTAATTTTGTTTTTGTAAAACGTAATCAGGTTATATGTTATCTACTAGTATCATCTTCTTCCGTGGCAATTGCATGGATCCAACATAGAAACGAGGATGCTATAAAAACACTGAGAAACAGTTCCATAGTTTCAGCTTCAATGTCCTTCTCTGCTTTTGTGGTTTTGACACTCTCTACCCTCTTGTCTGGATATAAGCTTTGCAAGAGATTTATGTGGTAAACAGTTCTTGTAGAGGTTCTTTTTGTAAGTAATGATCACGAGGAATATTGCAGTAGTTACGTATTAATTTGTACATGCATGACCATTGAATAAAACAAACTTAATTAAGTACTGTCTGTTATTTGTTAATTTGTCTTCCTCGTATTTTTTCCGAAACTGTCATCAAATGGTAAAGGGGTTCTTCAATATGCAAAAAAAAGGGTTCGTCATATGTAGCAAAAACGATTTTTCTGTGAAAGAATGTTTTTGCAAAGTAGTCATTAAAAATAGTAATTGATCAAGGAATTAAGAGTTTCTAAACCAAGCAAACATGCATATTATTGAACATTGTGGATAAAATGGCATGCCAGTCTCGTGAGCTTGTAATAAGTCCACTCTTATAAAATCATCCATATGTGGTAACTAAACTAACATTCATAATATTACCGTTTGTATTTTGTAACATATATAGTAATATTCAAAGCTAGAAATCCAATACCTAGAGGCTAGAGCCTACAAAAGAGCATTATTATCGCCCATTACTCTAGTAAATCATTAATGCATGTCGCCCCCAAAACTTAATATTCTAATGTTAAAGTTCTAGTCCAAGTTTCTTTTGTTTGATCTCCGAACCGGCCATGATTCTTAACTATCGAATCTCCGCCAAAAAATTATAGATTTCAATTCTGATTTGTAAATATAAAATGATTTAGTAATGAGATAACTACGGAAGATACCAATTCATTTTTTCATAAACCAGGAACAAGAGAAAGAAAGAATTACTATGATATTATATTAAATAAATTATACGGTGTTTATCAATTACCCAACAAAAAACTTGACTCTTCTCTCTGCCTCCACTGTATAACCGAATGTAATTAACAAAACTTTCTTTTCTAGAAAAGTTAATTATGTAAACACCACTTTTTCAAAGTTATTTTCAAATTTACTGTTTGAAAGTAATTTAAAAAATTACAGTATAAACAAACTTCTGTTTCGATCTATATAGATTAGGGTTTTAGAATTTTTTTTTTAAATAGTGACGCAAAATTTATTGATTGTAAATAAAGAAAGAATAATCTTTTATTTAGTAGTATGCTCCGATTAGTAACACAATAAAATTGTGGAAGTACGAAAAAAATTAAGCTGCAGAATGACAGAATGCTGAATAGCGGAATATTTTTGATGTAATTAGATAAATTATGTGGAATGACGAAATGGTAGAATGCCAGAAAATATACAAAATTATTTTTTTATAATAATATATTTTATATATAATTTGATATAATAAAAATTAAGATATTAATTATTATAAAAACATAATTTTAATATAATTAGAAAAAATTAAAAATTTTATTGTAATTATTTATTTTTATTTTATTTTCATTTACTATAAAATATATAAATATATTGTAAAATTTAATCTACAGATATAATATGTTTATTATATAAATATATGTAATATAAATATATTTATTTAAATAATAAAATATAATTAATTATATAATTGAATGATATAAATTATTGATTTCGTAAACAAACAATTTAAAATATATTTTTTTATTTAATCAAATTTTTTTTATATTTTTTGTATGCTATTCCATAAAATTTAAGTTTTGGCGGTTTTACACCAATATTTTTTATTAACAAAATTTTTGCAAAATTACGTTTTTCACCATTTCATTATTCTAGACAGTTTACCAATCACTAAATGATACGTTTATGCTTCGTTTGTAAACTGTATGACTCCCGAGAATAGTTGAATGCAATATTTGTTGTAAGTTGTAACTCACTCGCACGTGTCAGTTCAGCATTTCTACATTTAGAGGTCAAATAAAACGCAATTTACTTTGAATGCCGACAAAAAACAATTCACTTTGAGTAAGACGGCAACTGCAACAAGAAGTCGTTCGATCACTTCAACTAAGAAGTAAGAACAAAATATATATATATATATATATATATATATTGTTGGAAACTAAATTTAATTTCTGCTACTTTCCATCAAAAAAACGTAAAGTTAATATATTTCGGTAATAAAAATGCTAGACAAAAGGTTTGCCTAGGAAACAAAAAAATGTTAATTTTCTTGTTCGTGATGATTATAAGGAACTTCTGTTAGTCCACATATTCCTTTTTATATATTTTTTTTGTGGCAGATATTTGTTCCCTATTTCCAAAAGTTTGAACTTGGATTCATCTTTACAATTTTTTAAAAATATAAAATAACGCATCAAGAAAATTTATTTGATCACTATAATCAAAATTCAAATTCATATGTTTAACAAATTTAAATATTGTATTTGCAATGTCATTTAAAAAATATTCCCTGTATAAATATAAATTTTGTGCTATATCTAAGGTTATTCTCTTAAACTTTCAAGTATTTTTTTCTTTTACTTTAATTTACATCTGATTGTAGTTATTTACATCCTAATTGGATAGAAATAAACTTTACAGTCACTTAAAATGATTTACAGATATCCTATTACATATAATTTTGTCTGATTTAAAATAATTTATTTATAAAAATAAAACAAATTTAAATTCACGTATTGAAGAAAAAGAGTTGACAACGAAAAAAAAATATTGAAGAGGAAAAAAAAATTTCCACTTGTCGACAGTACATCATGAAAATACAAAACACTTTTACAAGAGACGTAAAACAATTCTCGGCCTGCTATAGAATTCTATTCCATGCATGATGCAATTTCTTGGTCTTTACATCAATTTAATTCTAAAAATATATAATACATAAACAATTATTTAAAACAAAATGTAATGCGAACCGTAGAAGCAATTTGGTCTAGTGTTTGTTTATAGAAAGTATATTTATATCATACATGTTAAGTATACAATTCAAACTATTGACTTTGAACAAAAAAATTATAGTCATAGATGATAGTTTTGAGTTTTTCATTGATTTTCACACCAAAGTCAAGAACACATTCAAAACTTTTTTTTGTAATAAAAAAGAAAAAAATTTAATACTTTGCATACTGATCGGTGGTAAGTTAATAAGTTTATATAGATTGTGGTTTTAGTCTACTACATGTTAGGTAAAAACTAACGACATTGGCATTCTTATTTATGTAACATAACAAAAAATTAAAACAGAGAATAGTCAACTCACAAACATTAAATTCGACACTTGAAAACTTATTCAAACTTGCATTAATTATAATATGTTATCACTTATCTTAAATACTAACGTTTCGTGAAATGAGAAGGTCACAAAGGGAAGGAACAAAAAAAGTGAAGAAGGAGAAGAAGAAAGACGAAACTTCTGGAAAAAGAGGAAAAGCCACCTACGCTCTTCTCGCACATTCCTATACTCTTTCCTTCTTGTGGACCCCTCACTTTTGTTGATTCCGATTCTACCCTTTTCTTCCTCGATCTCATTTTTCCTATTTTTTTCCTTTTTATTATTTTTTTCTTTCCTTCTGGAACTTCCCGATCTGTCTCTCGTCTCTCTCCTCTCTCCATTATTTCTCTTTCTTATCAATCCGTATTGCCAGAACCTTCTAGAACTTCAAAACACAAAAAACTCAATCACAATCTCTCTCTAGCTTTGAGATCAAAACGTGTGTTTCATCACGGGCTCCTTCTGGATTGTGGCAATCTCTTTGTTGGTTGGTAGAGAAAAAAGGTGAAAAGATTGCGTTTGGACAGAGAAAGTTTTTTGTGAGTGTTTTGGGATTTTGTTTAATGGGTCTGTGAGAAGAAGAATATGAAAGTGAAAGACATCACCTCTCTCTTCTGGGTGTAATTTTTCTGTTATTCGGATCTCATGATTCCAAGTTTCTTCAAGCTATATCAATAAAAATAGCTTATTTCCATTGGTAAATCCACCATTTTCTCTCTCATTTGTCCTCGCCGGCGACTATTTCTTCCCAATCTAATCTTGGTTTTGGAATTGGAATTAAAAAGTTCAGGTTTTTGAGGTGCCCGTGGATCTAATACTCATGCCGGGAGAACAAACCGGAGAAACTCCGACTGTAGCCGGAGTTGGCGGCGGCGGAGGTGGTTGTAGCGCCGGTAATAGTGGCGGAAGTAGTGGATGCGGCGGCGGTGGTGGAGGTGGTGGAGGAGGAGATTCGCAGAGGTCGATTCCGACTCCGTTTTTGACGAAAACGTATCAGCTTGTGGATGATCCGGTTTACGACGAATTGATTTCGTGGAACGAAGATGGATCAACTTTCATCGTGTGGAGACCAGCTGAATTCGCCAGAGATCTTCTCCCGAAATACTTCAAACACAACAATTTCTCAAGTTTCGTTCGTCAGCTCAACACTTACGTGAGTCTTAATTCTATTTCTAACTCTCGATTTGAATCTCAATATCGGTTTAGTAGTGTGACTCAGTTTCGGTTCAACATGGTTTAGGGATTTCGAAAAGTAGTTCCCGATCGTTGGGAGTTTTCTAATGAATGTTTCCGGAGAGGTGAGAAGTCTCTGCTTCGGGATATTCAACGTCGGAAAATCTCTCAGCCTGCTATGGCCGCCGCAGCTGCAGCCGCTGCGGCGGCGGTAGCGGCTTCAGCTGTAACGGTTGCAGCGGTTCCAGTCGTAGCGCACGCCGTCTCTCCGTCGAACTCTGGAGAAGAGCAGGTGATATCGTCAAACTCATCCCCCGCGGCTGCAGCCGCGGCTACCGAAGGAGGAGCGGTTGGTGCGGTTCTTCAGAGGACGACGAGCTGCACCACTACGCCCGAGCTAATTGAGGAGAACGAGCGTTTGAGGAAAGAGAATGTACAGTTGAGTCGGGAGTTAACAAAGCTTAAAGGATTATACGCGAATATCTACTCGTTGATGGCGAACTTCACGTCATCGGGTCAAGCGGATTGTGCGCAGTTGTTACCGGAGGGGAAGCCGTTGGATCTTTTGCCGGAAAAACAAGGAATGAGTGAAGCCATGGAAATGGATTCTAGGTTAGAAACAGGGATTGGTTTGAAGCTCGATGAGGATTTGACGCCGAGGTTGTTCGGTGTTTCGATTGGGGTGAAGCGAGCTAGAAGAGACGAAGAGCTTGGTGCTGCTGTAGAGGAAGAGGATGGGGAGAGACGAGAAGCGGGTAACGGAGACGGAGAACAAGGCTCCGATGTTAAGTCAGAGCCGATGGAGGAGAATAACTCCGGTAACCATGATGGGCCATGGCTCGAACTCGGAAAATGAAAAGATTTTTACACGAATCAGTCACTGATCTCTATTGAAAAGGCAAAAGCCACTTTAGCTGTCCCGAGCGGAAAAACTGGAGCAGTGTTTGGTCATGAGAACAAAAGGCTCCGAGTGTTTCACAAATTAGCAGAGAACAAGGCTCCAACTCTAAAACGACAGATCCTACCATCCTGAGTTGTTCCTGATTTCAGATGTTGCTTCTTGAATCTTCTTCTTGATGGAACTGAAACTATTCTGGCTCGTTTGGCTCCAGCGGGTGGATGTGCTTCTAACGATTTCGGATAAAACAGGCAGATTCGAAGTTGGATCTTCATACTCTGCAAAAAAAATTGCACAAAGGAATGGTTTTTCTTAGACTTTACTTATTACAGAAGCCTTATGTTCTTTATAGTTCAAAACAACTGTAGCTCTCTACTTGTAGTTATTTGTCCTGATGAATTATTTTTTTGTTTCTTGATTAAAAAGACAGACGAAGTCCTGTACTGTTATATATTTTCATGGAGTGTATGTGTTATTATTTACCTGATGACATAGGAAGCTCGTACTGGCGCTTTAAGAACTTGGAGGCGTTACGGTCTTTCTTGTGGCAAAGAACTCTGACTAGTGTCTGTGCGTCTTCCAAGCGCCGTTGCTCTGAACTCACTCCCATGTTGATCAGCTCGCTCGCAGTCATTAGCATCTGTATTAGCATTTCACTCTGCAACCGAGATCAACATTAACGTCTCAGATTTTCTGTGAAAAGGAAATTGACATCGCAAGTGAAACGAAAGATATATACCTCCAGAGAGTAGAGGTCGAGGATCTCTTTCGCCTGTTTGGCTTCTTGCTCAACTAAGGAACGGGGAAGACCTTCTCCATCAGCGATGAAGAACTCCTACCAGAATGCATGGCAAAGGTCAGTGTCCTTCGTTGTCTAGAGTTATTGAATAGAGTGTAGACGAAGGTACTAGAGCTCGAAATTTGGAACAGAGGAAACTTCGTTTGCATAATAGTGCAGAATGTCAATTACTTACTTTCAAAATACTGAGATCTTCTTCCATCAAAGGGATGTCTGTATCCGAGAATGCACGGGTTGGACCTCCATCAAGTAGTACTCGAGCATAAGCTTCCTATGCGAGAGAAGCATAGAGTTTTGGTGAGCATAAAAGAAGTTGAAATTAGCTAAACTTTGTACACATATAGGGAAAAGAAGTGTTACCAAAGCAGATCGACAAATGCTCAAAACCACCATATCTCTCGAGTCCTCATAACTCAGACTGCATACACTATCAAGCACCTGTGTTTGCATTTCTCAGTGTTAGTTCATGGTAAGTAGAAAGGGGGTGAATCAGGGAAAGAGATGTTTTGTTTACAGAATCAATGTGAGGGAGTAATCTTTCCAAGCGGGCGCCTTCGACTGTGCCATTGTACAGCTGTACTAGGAACATATCTCTCAGATCCCAGAATATCACTCTTGCCCCTGTTAAAAGAGCAACAACAAATACAGAAAACAGAGCTAAACCGAGTTTCTTGTGCCTCTTAAACCCTAACATACTAAAAAGTAACAAAATCCATCTAACACACCGTCCCATTCATGAGGTGATAACAATAAAAGAGGAATATGTACATCACGCAAACAGAACATAAAACATGATAATTATGTCTAGCTTATCTCAGACAGGCCATAGCAAATCTTGTTTAGTACGTCTGCAAACAGTGTGAAAGTGCAAATGCATTGTATTTGTCAATAAGAAGATCAGCCAACCAAACATTGATTTCTGACGCTTAAGGTTGCATAAAATTGCTTCAGTTTTGACAGACTTTTTAGTTAATCTCAAATTTAAAGTGCTGCAGATGAACACGAGACTTTGTATTAGCTTACCAATTAGGCCACGGGTTTTGGTTATGCAATTGGCATTGGTCTCCCTGAGGCTATCATACGTGGTAGCAAAGAGTTCATCAACAGCTTCACTATGCGTCATTGAATTCTCTTCTTCAGCTTCGTCAATCTCAGTTTCTGAAACAAGATCATGCAAATGGATCAAGCAGTGACATTTTAGTCCCAGAAATGAAGAGAAAAACGTCTAGTCCCACGTGGATGAGCTTACTTGATCTATTGTCAATAGAGGATCGGACAAGTGTCAAAGATTTCCTAATGCCATCTTCAGTTGCACTGATTTGTTTCTGAATATACTGATCCATTAACACAGAATTGACAAAGAAATCTTATCATTTTGTTTTCACAAGAAAAAATATGAAGGTTTCAGCTAGAAAGGACACACTTACACAGAGCGTGTTCAATCTTATGCAGAGCTTCGGTATTGTCAGTTCATCCAATTTCTTAACCATCTTATTATCTGGCTCACCAAACTCGAGCGACTTCCTCTTCATTGCTGGCATAACACCCTCTGTGAAACGAGTTAAAGGAGGAGCTGACGGATACAGAAGCTTCTTGTCAACTGCAGATGTAGGCTTATGGTCAATACATCACAGTATGCTTCAGAAGAATTGCTTAATTTGAAACAAGTTTTGAAACTGTTTTCATTATACCATTGGATTTGGACAAGATGTTCTATAAACGTATACTCAAATCTCAAATGTTAGTCCCAACTTCATACAAAGAAACACAAACTAAGGAAATCTACATGTTACAAGTAATCTACCAGACACATAAAAGCCTGCTCAAGCATGCGTCTCTGGATTCTGACATAAGTTAGAAGAATTTAATAATAGTTTTTCCATGGTAGTGCAAGAACAAGACTCAGTAACAACTGTAAGAAGATGTAGAGTTGGTCAGTACCTAGTTGATCGGAAATTCTCTGAAGATAAGTATCCAAGCTATGGTAAATTATTGAGAGAAGAGCTTGGAGATGTGTGATATCAACAGGTAGATGTAAACCAAATAGCTGACACACAGTCTGCAAAGAAGGCGAGATGAGTAACTAAGATGGAAAATAAATTGTGCAGCATTAAAAAGATAAAGGTAAAGTAAGAACTTAAACAAAACCAATATGTAATTCCAGAGGTAACCCAAAATTGAACTCGTTTTATATGTCTGAGGCTCCTACAGTTTGCACACTATTCCGCATAATGATGTAATGATAGTATCTAGATATACCTCTTCGATGATCCTGAATATTTCAACAATCGATGCAGCATGTCTTTGATGAACTGATAGAGGCTCCCACTCCTGCTTATAGAAAAACATTATAATTAAAAATCATGTATCCATCTTTTGGACAATAAAGTTTCCTGCATCATGCTTTGGATTTGTTTAGGTTGTCAAAAGTGATAGGAAATCTGTTACATCTTTCTGACGTTACGGATCCTTCATTTGTCAGTATATATTATGACTTCAACCTATACATGATGCAACTTTTTCAAAGATTTCTTAATACTGACCAGATGAGGTTTAAAGTGATCCATCAAACAAGTTCCCCGTATGACCAAACTTTAAAGTCTATGAACTGTTAACACTCTTAACAGCAATCAACAGGTGAATATTTTGCCAAGAATATAAAACCTCAATTTCAAAAGCTCGCCTAGTCCATTGCAATATATGATCATGTTGAGAGATAAGCCAGTCCAGCATTACGGGTTTGACAACCTTTGCTATCTGCACATAAACAAATATGAAAAGTATCTGATATGACTTATTTGACATGATAGGAAACCATAACACTGTCACACTGAATAGTGGTATAATATGTTCTGAGATTCAATTCATATAAGAACTATCTTCATTCAATGACCTCGTAATTCTTCAACTTGTGGAGATAAGGTTTGTGCAACTTGGATTTGCTATGACAATTATACAGTTCAATTAAGGCTTCCTCTAACATATAAGCAGCAGGAACTACTTTTCTAACATCACCAGAGAGGGATGAAACTCCTTCGAGGAAAGGCGCCTGTTTCAGTAGAACAAAAGATCAATCATAAATATAGATACCAGTGACAAACAACATTCTCTTAAAGTACTAAAATGCTCAGGGCATACCAGTCTTTCTCCATAAAACCGATGCAGCAGCATGGCCGAGATCATCATACATTCGGGTAACCATTTGGAGAAAACTGGGACAAACTCATTCATCTCTGCCTTTGCGATGACGGTCAGTTCATTTGCAAGCAGAGCTAGAGCATGCGTTCGTTCACCATGAGATTTTACGTATGCAAAATGTGCAGCCTAGGAGGATACAATATCGACTTAATAAACGTTTACATCAAATGATAGAGTGGTAAAGGAAGTGGCTTATACAATAGAGCAATATAAGATAATCAAGACAAAAGCTCACCCTGGCACATGCACCTTTAATAGAGTTCTGAACATAGGATTGTATCTTATCACCAACATCATCACTCAATGAATCTAGCTTGATAAGCTGCAAGAGAAATTAATATCTATCAACGATGATCATCCGAGGATATCTCCACATCACAAAGCCACACTAAATAATATATATGCATTTACTCTTTCTATACCCAACTAAGAATGATTTTCTTATTACAGCCGAAGACTTAAATACATAGAACATATAGTCATGCCAAAAGAATGTCTAGCCCTGGGGCCCTGGCTAGTTAATTGTACTGCAGAAAAGCGCATGAAAGTTACGCAAATGTCAACATCAAAATGAAAAAGCTAGTAAGGGCCTCATAAGGAGAATTTTGGCATGCATCGCTTTTCCAAGACATGTTAACTTCAACTGAATATTCATAAGTCAACAGGTGTAACATATACACGTATAAAAATTGGAAAAGGCAAAAGAAAAGTATGTTGAAAATGAAAATGGATGTAGTAGTCAACATTAGAAACGCCAACCTCAGTTCTGGTACAGTCAGCTGGAGGAAGTCCAACTGTTGATGCCAAGCTGACAAGCATTCCAAATTCACGAGGTTTCTGAGGAGACATAGAGATCAAGAAAATATATATTATGTCGTGATAGGATTGTAATAACAAATACCATTATGATGAACTTAGAACAGAGATGAAATCTATTTCGTTTGAGCAGTAAGGAAGTAGACCTTGATTACCAGGAAAAAAGACAAAACAAATTATGGCAGAAGAACTGCACGCTAACTAGATATACATATAAGAATTTTGGCCAGAAAATTTGAAAAGAATACGTTAAATTAAGTAAATATAATAGGACGTCATCACTCATCATATATCGAAAACTGACCTTACCAAAGTGTAGATGGTAGTCCTGAAGTTTATCATCACACCAAGCACTAACTGAAGTGAAAATTGCCTTCACGAGACCTAAGTGTATGTCAGTTCCAACGGTTTGCCTTGCACATACTAGATGACTTAAATAAAGATCTTCCCTCGGGTTGCCTTTTTCAGTGGAAGTAACCTTCTGCAACTCTTGAATTGCGCTCCCTAGAAGAGAAGGTTCACCTGTACACACAAACTTCACAGGAAAGGAGCACATGTGGTGGCTACTTTAAACTCTTGTCTAAGATAATTATAAATGCATGCATCGGTGCAGTGAGGATCAAACAACATATATGAAAATTCAACCTGCATAAGGTTTTGTGTTAAATGTTACATGGAGCTCTGACAAGCCAGCTTTGTGCACATAATGATCAGTTAGATAAAGCAGATGTCTGAAGAATAAGTGGACCGATTAAGATAAGACGTACCTGTTGAAAAAGAACCCATCCATATATTGCATTATGTAGGTTCTCAGTTATGCCCAACGTCGACCAAATCGACTTCATGTGGAAAAGCATTGATGAGGCATCCTGATATGTATTTGAAGTCAGGGACAAATATACATAAGACAAATGATAAGAAGTAAAACAAGGACAAAAAAATCTACCTCTACGAGTTGACCCTCGTCAAGGATATCAAAAACCCCAAATAATAACTTCTCATAGAGTCTAATATTCAAATGATAGATAGCAGTCCAATAATAAGTTTCTTCTTCGATACCACATCGGCCAGGTAGTGATGACAATTTCGAAGACACATGCCTTATAGACGATAGAACGTCAATCCGCAGGGAAGAAGACATTACAACATCCCATTCCTATGCCAGCCAAAAAAAGAGATTTAGATTCAAGAAATAGACGTCTGTTACATTTTACTAGATGAGAACTTGCGGGCTATGAAACATCCAGATCACAAATATAGTACGCACCTTTGAGTCTCTAATCGTTGCAAGGCATTTTCTCATAGTTGCTCGTTCATTTTTCTCCAGACTAGGTGAGAAACAGAGCGCTTCTTCTAGTAGGTTAGCCTATATTGACGATGGCAAAAGACACTTAATTTAATTGCTTAAACAAGCATTTATTCACTTTCTTTCACATATACTGAATATACATATCTACGTGTTTAAGTACATGTACACAGAGAAGCAGGATGATGCAGAAGTAAATTCAATTTGTAAGGCAACCAAAATCACAAAAGCTGCATATGCCTATTTAAGCAGGTTACAATTTAACTTAAGCTGTGGTATAAAAGATATGCACCAGTGATAAAAAAGATATGCTCAAGTGCCAGTCAATAAAAAAGTATTTGTTTAAAACTTTCAAGGAGAGCAAGAAGAAAAGAAGAAAAGAAATCAAAGAAAAGCACCAGTGATAGATGCCATCCATACTTGCATGAGATTATCATATATCAGATATCAAACCAAGAAACCCATGAAACGGTTTAAGAACTTGCACAAGGACGACAAGAAAAAAAAGAACTGTAGTTCATTATCACCTGTCTAGTCTTCCAGTTCATGTAGAGTTTTTCACTTGGAAAATCCGATTTGAATATTCCAACCAACAGCCCCAATGCTAACTGTGGAAGATCAATTTGTTCACCTGTCCTCAACTGAGCCAACTGTACCAGATTCCTCCGTATGCATGTATCCATCTTTGAAGAAATCTATTAGAGCAGCAACAAAAACAGTGATTAAACATATGCTGCACAGAAAGACATATGATCCGGCTGAACTAAATTTGAAATATGGAACTGCTGATTCTTTTGGTTAGTTAACTAAATGCTTGTTAATTGTATGACGAGAAGACCTTTCTCCCCTAGTACTACGTTAGACAACAACTGGATCCTTAGGGCATAACATAGATAGTGATTTTATAGCTTGCCTGCATCTGGACACGGATCATGTTGATAACCTCTGAGTGAGCATTAGAGAAGTGAGGCTGTAGATGTGGTTTGTCTTTTCTCTTCAAACTTGACAAAAGCTTTGAGCCTTTTTCTAACTTCCTTCTCTGAGTAGGATACGCCTCAACACTGTTTATGAACAGAAGCAAGCAAAACCACACAGATGACCGAATTATCAGAAAAATAGCTGGAAATCTGAATTATAAGCAACACAGAATATACATGTATTGAGGAATAAAAAAAAATGAGCGAGTACCTCGAAAGTAACATAGACGCAATCATTAGTTCGTAAGCTGCTTCTCGCAAATCATCATCCGATAACCCTTCAATATTCCTAACATCATGTATCAGTTCACTCGAAAGATGTAAACTAAATTAAAAGATTCACAAGGAAACAAATAGTACTCTAGGACAGAAACTTCAAAAGAGAAATTGTTCCTAACCAAACAAAATACCTGTTCTCAAGGGTGGCAAGCCGAGAGGAATGATTTTGATAGGTTTCATGGGTTTAATGTCAGGTGTTTCCTCTTTAACTATATAGTTTTCTCTAGATGGTGTATTAGAAGAATCAATGTGGCATGACATGTCTGGGACATTGTTACTGGAATCTCCAATGTTAACTGGTTGAGGAGGCATACGGCGAGGAGGAGAACCTGCTACATCTGGACTCGACACAAGAAAATAGGAATCTCTAGACTCAGAGTGAATCTGCAAATTCAACATCATCAGAAAACTAATCACTTTCTACGGTTAATATCAACAAAGACATTGGTATTGCAAAGTTTTGACTTCCAATAATCACAGCACTACTTTACACCAATAATACATTATATTGTAAATCTACAATTTGACAGTGTGTACTCCAACTACACATTAGGCAAAGAAAAGAAAAAAAGATGCAACATGCAGATGGCATGTAGAACCCAAATTGTGTTTTAAGCATTGTAGAAGCATTTGCTTACAGTTACGGGGTATGAGGACTCAAAATTGAATTTCTCCGTGCCCTTGAGTACATCAACAACACCACCTGCGTCGTTAATGGAGTGTTTCAAAAATAGATTACTTAGAAAATCGAAACTACCAAAGAAGAGCACAGACTTTCCCCATTACAAAAATCCTCCAAGAAATTAACAAATCGGTCGAAAACAATTCAGAATTGAAAAAATTCCATTTCACAGATTACAAATCGCTTAGAAGAGGAAAAAAGATTAAACTACTTTAACCATTTTTGCAGACTTCGAAACAGTTACTAAGCATAGGTTATTTCCTCAGCGAAAAAAATAGGTACACATAAATTTCAAATTTTCTCTGGAAACTTAAACCTCACCGGATTTCACGCAATCCAAGACATAATCGGCGCTGAGAGCATCTAAATCAGCCGGAGAAAGTGAACCAGAAGGGGAGCGAAGCTCCGTTACCAAACCCGAAGACACGAGAAACTCCAGGAGCTTGCGGCGATCGCTCCGGTAACGCTGCAAAAGAGAATTCATTCTTCGCCCCTCCAAACGATCCCGCTCGTGTCAGGGAACCAAAAATCGCCTCTGAGCAATAACGACAATTTTGAAATTGATGAGAAGAAGATGAAAGAGAAGGGAGGTGTAGAGAGACTTATTCAGCGTACTTCGTTGTCCCCTCCCATGGAAGAAAAAAGGTGAAAGAAAGAGGAGGAGCTTGGGGGTTTTGGGAGAAGCGCGGAAAAGCCCGACTGATGATCAGAAAAGACCAAAACAACCTTAACAAGATTCTTTTCATATTAACATGACCAATCTGACTTTACGTTTTTTACTTTTTGGCAAGTCCATCATGTTTTCACTAAGATTCAAATTACACACACGACGTCGACGGAACAATTAATTTACAATTCACTATGTCGGTTTGTTTCCCGTTAACCGAAGGTACGGCGCCGTTTTGCATGGGCGAGCAAATGCCGTCGTTTAACACGAACGAACAAACGCCGTCGTTTTTGATGGACGAACAACAACGTCGTTTTGCATGGGCATTCAAACGGCATCGTTTTCAGCTGGGGTACAAACGGCATCGTTTTCAGGGCGAAACGGCATCGTTTTCAGGGCGAAACGGCACCGTATGCAGTGAACGGCGTCAATCGTTTTAAGCAAAGAATAAATGGCGTAGTATTTATTGCATGTGAGGACGAACGCCGTCGCTTTGCGTTGGCAACAAACGCCTTCGTGCGACCCAACAGTGTCGTTTCATGCAACGAACAAACAGCATCATTTTACGTGGAGTGAATAACGGTGTCGTTTCACTTGGCGTACAATGGCGTTGCTTTCGTGTAAACAACGACGTGAACACACCGTCAGATTGTATGATCAATGATGGAGCCGTTTGTTTGTGACCGCGTCCCCATTTAATTTTCTAAGAAAGATATGTTTGCAAATATTATCAATCATGTCAAACTTCAAACTAGCTCTTGGAGCTCAAAGTTACTTTCATTTGTCGGAAAAGAAGTGTTACTGAAATTGGCTATTTCAATGTCCGTTTACTCTATGTTATGTTTTAAACTCTCAAAAAATGTTATCTCTGAGTTCATTAGCATCTTTACACAATTCTGGTGGGGAAGGGCACCGTCTCAGGTTTTTTAAAAAACCTTAGGCAAAAAAAAAGTTTGGACTCTTTTTTTAGAAAAACAAATAATTTTGGATCTTTTTAGTATAAATTTGTTTTAAAAAAAAATGTGGACCCTCTTTTCCTTCCAAAAATTTATAATTTGAAGTGGGTCTTGGGTCTGTGTCTCTCTCGCCACCCGTTAGAGCCGGACCTGGGAAGGAAAACTCATTTCAAAGGTATACCTTGGGTGGTTTGAAAGCATGCAATATCTAAAAAGTGAAAGAGGATTTGGCTTTAAAAATTTGGAAAAAGTTAATGATGCTCTATTGGCTAAACAAGCATGACGTCTATTAAAACATCTTAACTGTCTCTTCGTAAAAGTTTATAAAGCTCAATACTAAAACTGTCTCTTCGCAAAGGTTTATAAAGTTCAATACTAAAATTGTCTCTTCGCAGAGATTTATAAAGCTCAATACTAAAATTGTCTCTTCTCAATGGTTTATAAAGCTCAATACTACAAGGATGATCATTTATTTGAAGCAAAATTTCGGCCTTATCATTCTTATGGTTAGGCCTCTATTTTCTCAGTATTAACTTACTCAAACAAGGATTTCGATATATCATTAACAATGGTACACATATCCAAACATTCAAAGATAACTGGCTACCTACACACCCTCTGCGACCATTGCAAAACATAATTGGACATTCTAACCTAATTGTCTCTGTTTCATCTCCACAAATAAGGGACACAAACAATGGAACACTTCCCTACTGGATGTGAGTCTTACCCATCAGGATAACGTATTGGCTCAATCCAGCAACAATAATAACTCTAACTCCTTACAATGGAATTATACAAAGTCAGGTCAATATACTGTGAAATCCGGCTATTGGTTTCTTAGACACCATATGGACGTTCAGAGACATACACCAGATATTTCTTTTGGTGATCCACTTCTTAAACGATAAATATGGAAACTCCATATAATACCAAAACTAAAACACTTTTTTATGAAAAATCCTTTTTTAAAGCCATCAGCACCTCCACAAGATTACAGGGGTCGTAATAGAGAACACTTGCACTCTATGTGGCTTAGAACTGGAGGCAAATTATCATCTTTTTTTTCACTTGCCCAGTCTCGCGCTCAACTTGGCGCCTCACCAAAACACCATTTAACTTCCTAAGTATCCCTTGTCAAGACCCTGAAACTGGGATTCGCATGATTCTTGATATGAAAGACTCAAACGAACCTCTGCAAAAGGATAATATTCTACCGTTGGCGCATTTTGAAATCACGGAATTCATTAATCTTTCAGCACAACGTGTCAATCCCATCCTAGATGCTACAAAAGTTATTGCCGATGTTGAAGAGTGGCTTGGCATTTCCCCTGCTCCTCATACAATCGCTCTACCTCTACCTCCAAAATCCACATGGAAATGCCTGCAATATAGTTTCATCAAATGTAACTACATTGCCCCTTTCAACTAGGAACCACCACAGTACTTCAGGTTAGATTGCATATGACTCTCATGGGACATGCAATTATTGGAGTTCCGCCAAAACAGGATTTTTATCAACGTCTTTAAAGGCTGACGCAAGAGCACTTCTAGTTGCTTTACAATAATATCTCACATCAGAAGTTGGAAAAGATCATAACTAATATATAAGGAGCAGGGGCCAATTTATTTACACCAATTGGTTTTAGGTTGGAAGTCTATGTAACTTAACATGGTATCAGAGCCCGATTCAAACAATCCAACCCGATCCTTAATCGATATGTGATCCAAAAATGGTTTGTCGATCCTTGCCCAAACATTACCGAGATCAATGGCCAAAATAAACATCGTCTCGAGGGGGCGTATTAGGGATAATATCCAACATCGGAAGTTAGAAGGTATCATAACTAATATATAAGGAGCATGTGTCAATCTACTTATTGCCAATTGATTTTAGGTTGGAAACCCATGTAACTTAACACTGGAGTATGGGGTTCAGACGTGGATGTTTTGAAGGTGACTACCAAATGCTTGTCCGATTAATGCTCTCCGCCGAACAAGATCTTACTATTGCCAATTTACTTCTCAACATCAAACTTTGGCTCAGCAAATTCAGTCTGGTCGATATTACTCATGTGAAAAGAGACTGCAACAATGCTGCTCATTATTTAGTTTGCGTACAAATCCTTTTGTTTCTGGTTGTAATAAGCCGCCTTCCTGGCTCATTCCTACTTTGTATTCTGAACTTTACAACTCCTAATTAATATCAACCATTTTCGATAAAAAAAAAAAAATTAGTGATCGAGAAACACAAAGCTTTGTTTCCACGTTCCACACCAAGAAGAAAAAACGCAGGTCCAAGGATGAATTCTCATTTTCTCACGCTATTCACTGTAATATAGAACTCACAGGACAAATACACTGATCTAGAATTATATATACTACACAACACTAAAACACGCACCAGCGTTTTTACATATACCTGAAACCTCTGGTCTGTGATGGTCCGGTTCGGTAAGATCCTGAAACCACGGAAGATCACTAGACTTCGTTTGCGTTCTTCAAGATGTTAAACTTGCAAAGCGGGCAACGAGAGTTTATGTGAAGCCATTTATCAATGCAGCCGCAGTGAAAGTGATGGTTACAAGGGAGTTCTCTTAGTTCAACTCCGTCTTCATATTCACAGAGACAAATGCAGCATTCCTGCAGACAGAATGACAAGAAAGCAAAGCGTTTCTAAGTCTAAACACTTACAAAATGTTTGATTAACATAGAACTAACTGCATCAGATTAAGGAAATTGGAGTACCGCATCTTCTGAAGAAAGCGAGCGCTCGATAGGTGAATCTGTTCCACATTCTGTCATTACTCCTGGGAGCTTCACATCGTTGCCAATCTTTCTAAATCTGAATTTTGGCATTTGATCTATATCGTTTTTCGATGCTCCCTCCTGTTGTGTACCAATTTGCATCAAAAGACAATAATTTGTAAAACTATAACGGGAGTGGAAGTAAAAGAGAGCTTACCTCATCGGCAACAGCATATAAGATTGCGATTATACATGGCAGACAGCAGCAAACAGCAAGACCAACAACACAAGCCAGTGCAACACAGAATACCACAAAGAAAACATCGAAACCAAGGAATATGATACACAGCCTGCAAGTTAAAAACACCAGTACGCAAAATTCAAAACAATAATCCCCCAAAGATACAACTTCAGGAAAAAAAATTTTAGAAGGAAACCATACCAATAGAGCTGAGGAGAGTCACTAGATAGAGTTTGGCCTCCCGCAGATACCCAGTAGAATCCAATTACCCACCAGATGAATGAGAACATGGTGTTGGCCGATTCAAGATGCTTCGCGGAATTACTGAGACTGAGACCATCAACATTGAGAACAAACAAGGGCCATACAGAAATCGAAACGAAACTTCCGAGAGAGGATACCAAAACAAACAACAAAGAAGAATCGAAATGGCCTAAACTATCTCTAAAACTCTGAATCAATTACAAGCTGCAACCATGTTCCAGATCAGGCTTGAACTTCTAAACAACACAAGAACATAAGCTGATATCAATATTCACCAAAGAGAGAAAAAAACAATATCACAGCTCATTCAGTGAGGTTTCTTTCTTTATCAATCCCGTTCCCCGAGACTATATCATTTATATCTTCTGAACAAAGTCTGGAAAAGGGAACATGTACAGTTGCATTGATTCACAGATCCCATAAGCATCAACTAACACCAACCTAGAAAACTAAGATTCCACATTGAAATGTATATACAGTGAACAACCATCATCTCCATCTTCTCCCATATCCAAATTTGAAAACTCTGATTCCAGATCAAATCCAGCACAAATCTAAACCTAGATTGTTAAAAAACGAGTTCGTTACCTAGTATTTCCTCTATCCTCCAATTGCGCTAACGAAACGTACTGCTGCGACGAATTCGTAAACCCTGGACCAGTATCCTCCGACGAAGAAGAAGAAGCAGATGATGATCGGTGGCGCGTGCCTCTCCTACGCCGACACCTCCTCCGCCTGTACTCAGCGCAAACGCACGCCACATGTAACCCGCATTGAATACCGTAACCTACCACCCAAACTCTCAACGGCACATTCGGCCGTTCGTCGCGGCTGAGAATCAGAACCGCAACGCCGATCGCCACAAAAGCAAGATTCCACAGAATGTCGAGAAACACCACTGGCTTCGAATACGCCCAATCACTCTGTCTCTCCTCCAATTGCTCAGCGGCGGTTTCCCTAACCAGCCTCGACGGCTCACGCATCATCCTCCGGCTACCAGCGTGGCGAAGGAACCTCGCCGCCTCTCTAAGACCTTGTCGTCTAGCGGATCGGTGAATCCCATTGTTTTCATCGACGCTCACGGTTCTCGAATTGCCGGAAGGAAGAAACGGCGTTGCGTCGATGATTCCGTCGGAATCCGCCCTGCCGACGCGAGAAGGCAGAGACGCTGAATCCGGTTCCGTCGTTGCTGACATTTCTGTAGCTTTGTTGATTCTCAATTTCAATCGATTTGTGCCATACAAAGGGATTACGATTTGCCCCCAAAAGAGTTTGGAGTGTTGAGCATACAAAATCTTCAGAGAGAGAGAGATATATAGAAACGATATAACGTCAGGAAAACTGAGAAAAACTGAAAAAAGTTTTGACAGATGTTTCGATAGTACCTAGACTCTCCTCTTCTCCTCAACTATTTACAAATTTGCCATTCATTTACTAATGCGGTTAATGAGTGATTGTCGAATCCGAGGGACTTTTTTGGATTTTTCTGGGCTAAAATATTGAATACAGTAACCTACCACCCAAAATGTTGTTGGAAAATTTTTTTCCGAGTAAAAAGAGTAACGTGTATAATTCAAATATTATATCAGAAATATAGGCTAAAAGGTTCGAGAAAATATTAAAAATTTCTAATTTAATAAAAATAAAAAATACTCCAGTATTGACTTTTGAATTAGTGGATTTGGCTCGGTTCAGCAGGGACTCCTTTTCATCATGCTTAAAAGTTTTAACCGTTACTTTCAGTTGACTGGAGTATTAATTACCGTTTTGTTCAGAATCTACATGTTTAAATAGACCAACAAGACCCACCTTTAATGAAACATGGGCCTTTTTATTACGATATGGGCTTTTCTTGTTAAAAACAGTACTCAGATATGGCTTCTTCTTCTTGTTTTAAACGTGTCTACTAACTATGGCGGAGAAAGCTCAAAAATCTCTCTTCCTGTTAGCGAATCTAATCAAGGTTCCTCCATTGAAGGCTTTCTCTCTTTCGAATTCATCGATATTTCATGGAGTTCAACACACACATGAATCCTTCTCAATTATCATTCGTCTCCTTCTCTCTGGGAACTTACTCTCTCACGCTCAATCGCTTCTTCTACAAGTCATCTCTGGGAGAACCAATTCTCAGTTCTTCACTTCCTCCTCTCTCTTACACTATCTGACAGAATCAGAAAGTTCCAAAACCAAGTTTCGACTCTATGAAGTAATCATCAATACGTATGTTCAATCTCAGTCTCTAGACTCGGCGATCTCTTACTTCAACGAGATGGTCGATAGAGGTTTTGTTCCCGGATCGAATTGCTTCAACAATCTCTTGAGTTTCGTTGCTGGGTCGTCTCCTTTCAACGAATTCTGGGTCTTCTTCAACGAGAACAAGAGCAAAGTTGATTTGGATGTGTACAGCTTCGGGATTGTGATCAAAGGCTGTTGCGAATCTGGGGAAATCGAGAAAAGCTTTAAGCTTCTTGTTGAATTAAGAGAGAATGGGTTTTCTCCGAACGTTGTTATCTACACTACTTTGATCGATGGGTGTTGCAAGAAAGGAGAAATCGAAAAGGCGAGAGCTTTGTTTTCAGAAATGGGGGAAATCGGATTAGTCGCTAATGAGCGTACTTACACGGTTTTGATCAACGGGTTATTCAAAAACGGGATGAAGAAACAAGGGTTTGAGATGTACGAGCAAATGAAAGAAGACGGAGTTTTCCCAAATCTCTATACTTACAACTCTGTGATGAATCAGCTCTGTAAAGACGGAAGAACAAAAGACGCGTTCAAGGTGTTCGACGAAATGCGTGATAGAGGAGTTTCGTGTAACATTGTTACTTACAATACTCTTATAAGTGGGTTATGCAGAGAGATGAAGGCGAGTGAAGCTAATAAGCTGATTGTTAAAATGGAGATCGACGGAATCAACCCGAACCTGATCACTTACAACACTTTGGTCGATGGGTTTTGTAATGTTGGTAGATTAGGCAAGGCGTTGAGTTTGTGCAGAGACTTGAAGTCAAGAGGTATGTCTCTGTCTCTTGTGACGTACAACATTCTGATTTCAGGGTTCTGTAGAAAGGGAGATACTTCAGGAGCAGCTAAGATTGTTAAGGAGATGGAAGAGAGAGGGATTAAACCTTCGAAAGTAACATATACGATTCTTATCGACGCATTTGCTCGCTCGGATAACATGGAGAGAGCAATAGAGCTTCGATCATCGATGGAGGAACTAGGATTAGTCCCGGATGCTCATACTTATAGTGTGTTGATTCATGGGTTTTGCATCAAAGGTCAGATGAGTGAAGCGTCGAGGCTTTTTAGGTCGATGGTGGAGAAGAAGGTAGAACCTAACGAGGTTATATACAATACAATGATTCTTGGGTATTGCAAGGAAGGTAGTTCTTATAGAGCGTTGAGGTTACTCAGGGAGATGGTAGAGAAAAAGCTGGCTCCAAATGTTGCTAGCTATAGTTATTTGATTGAGGTTCTTTGTAAAGAAAGAAAATTGAAAGAAGCTGAGGATTTGGTTGAGAAGATGGTTGATTCAGGGATTGATCCATCTGCTTCAGTCTGTAATATGATCTCTAGAGCTAGAAATGATTTACATGTAGCTCAAACAACGATGAGAGCAGCAGATTCAGTCTGAATTGTACTACAAACATAATAGTATTGGTGTGAAGAGTTGAATTATATTTGGTCATAAATAGGGAAATTGCTCATTTAATTCTTGAAGTATTTGTAATTGGCAAATTTATTCTCCAACTATCATGTGTGTAGATTAAATCTTCAACATAGCATTGACTTTACAAATTTATGCATGAGAAAAGTCAACGTTAATGAAGAAAACGGAAACGTTAGCGTTAATTTCTCTCGGTCTAATTTTGCAAGGTCAACATAAACTAGAGGAGTAAATTTGCCAAATTAAAAATTGGGGAATTAATCTGTATAATTAGGAAAACTTGGAGAATTAAATAATTATTTTTTATTTATAAAATTATGATTATTTTTATAAATCATAATTATTTGTAGAATAGCATCAAATACTTTTTATTTCTTTTATTATATTATGTTTTCTAATAATCATAAATCATAATTATTTGTAGAATAGAAACAAATACTTTTTAAAAAAAAAATTTATTATTATATTATGTTTTCTATCTAAAATTTCATTGATTTTTTAATCAAAATGACAAAATCAGTATATATAACTTTCGAAAAACAAATAACTTAAACAGATATATTTGTCTTTAACATTCTCTTCTCATACTTCTACTAATTTGAGTAAAGATCAACTTCAAGACATATATTTTGGATAATTTCGGGAAAATTCAGAAAATTTTGAGAAAATTAATATATATATATATATATATATATATATATATATATATATATAAACAGGTAATTAAGGTATATGATCTTATACCCTTTTTTGTACCTGTTTGAATAAAACAAAAAGTCTCGATTGATAGGAGAATAATCATCAGTTGCTAACCAAATACTATCATATACTTAGAAAGATGTAAAACCAAGTGATTTTGATGAAATTGTTTCTTCTAATAGAGTAACAATACCAATGACCGTATGATAGGAGAATAATCATCGGTTGATAACCAACAAAATTGCCAGTAAAGAAAAAAATTACCAGAATTAAATACACGTAATTTTATTCATAAGAATAGAAAACATAATATAATAAAATCAATATTTTTTTATCTAATGGTATTCTACAAATAATCATGATTTATGAAAATAATCATAATTTTCTAAATAAAAAATGATCATTTAATTCTTCAAGTTTTTGTCATTGTGCATATCAATTCCCCAACTTTCAATTTGCCAAATTAATTCCTCGAGTTTATGTTGATTTTACAAAATTGGACTGAGATATAAAGTCAACGGTAACGTTTCCGTTTTCTTCTTTAACGTTGACATTTCTCATGCCTAAATTTACGAAATCAATGTTAAGTTGAGGATTTAATCTGCACATATGATAGTTGAAGAATAAATTTGCCAATTGTAAATACTTTAGGAATTAAATGAGCAATTTCCCGTCATAAATATGTGTGTAAGTTGGAGGAAATAATTAAGAAACTCTTAAAAAAACAAAAAAAGTTAAAACATTATCCAAAATGTATTAGGTGAAGCTTTTAGTTTTAGGGTTTTTCATCTGAACCTCTCAAATGCTCGTCCAAATGATAACAAACTCACCCAAACTTCCAAGTTCAAATAAAGTAATTTCTCAATAAAGTAAATATCTCACACATTTGATTAATCTTTAAAATTATGTTTTTCCCGTACGGGACTAATACTAGTATTTTATAATTTACAATTGTGGAGTTCAATAGTATGCAAGGTAGAGTGCCCCGAATCCATTTGTACAAATTTGCCATATTTATACAGCATATTCCTCCATATAGTTAACAATTTAAGATTTGGTCAAAAATAAATTACAAACTTCCTTTCCTTAATTTCGTATATTACTAATTAACCCAAATGCTGCAATTACTTATATGAATGAATTTCAAAAAAAAAACTATCCCATAGAGTAATATTCCTTTGTACTTATTACTCTTGGGCGGTTTATACTGTATCCAAAATTTACACCTAAACTCGAACCTAACCAGCGGATTCGGATCGGTACGGATCTGACAAAAAAATCTGAATGGTGGTTATAGTCAAACTGTTTCAGATTATGGGTCGGTTAGGTTTTAAACCAAAATCCACACAAAGACCGAAGATAACCACTTAAACCTATCTATCCCTTTAACGCCTAAACCTAAAAACTAATTGATTCACTTTTCTCTTCATCTTCTCTTGCCGCTTCGGAAGCTTCGTTCATCGACTCGAAACCAGCAAGTCTATCACGCTTGGTGTTGTTTTTCACGCTCAACGGCTCGATCATTCAAACCTTGAGTTGTCTATTTATAGAACCCACAATGGCCATAATTCAATCACTAATTTCCTTTGAGCTTTCAAATAATCAATCGGAGGTTTGTCTTTCTTTCTTATGTATTTCTACACATTAATTTGCTACACATTTGTAATTGCATGTTTGTTAATCGTTATCTATTTTTAATTTCTGTAATCCAACTTTGAATTAGCTTTTGAATAGTATTTTTACGATTTTGTTAATTTTTCTATTTTGATTTTGTTTGTAATTTCACTAATTTGTTTGATTAACTTTGTTTCAGATGGATTCAACATCAACTCCAAATCAGGAAAACAATAACAAAGACACTAATTCTACACAAGTAGATGACGAAGATTGTGTTCAAACACCATAACCGGATAGTCAAGACAAACGTAAAGATAGCGCAGGAGGAAGTGGATCTACTTCTCAGCGAAGTAAAATGAAGCGGATACTCCCAACAAGGTCTAACGTATGGCAGCACTACACGAGAACTAAGGAGAATCGGGATCGATGCATTTGCAACTATTGCCAGAACACTTTTTCTTGTGTGACAAAGTCAGGGACTTCAAATCTTAAAAACCACCTTCTAATCTGCAAACAACACCAGGCGTGGATAGATGGCCAAGCTGAGAGACAATCAGTTCTTAATGATAAAGAAACTATGAAGTCTGCAAAAGTGACTGAGTGTGTATTCAGAGAAGCGGCTAATGAAATGCTTGTACTAAGGGAGTTGCCGTTGTCTTTTATTGAAAGTGCTGCTTGGAAACATTTCTGCAATAAAGTTAGTATTCCTCTATGATCAGTTTTTGTGTTTATTTAAGCTTTATCTCTTCTTTTATATCTCTAACTCTCGTTTCCATGTTCATATTTAAAGGTTAACTTGTACAAGCCTATTTCAAGGAGGACAGCAACGTAAGATATAGTTGAGATGTATGCGCAGAGAAAGGCGGTACTGAAAAGATGGTTCTTATTTAACAGACAAAGAGTATCTTGCACAACAGATATTTGGGTGTCTCAAACTACAGGTAATTCATGTTCATTATATATTTAGTACCATGTAGTTGTCATTATTTTTTTATATGATTTCTAATGTATCTTTCATTGTTGGTTCTTTACAGGGGCGAGCTGTATGGTCATGACAGTGCATTATATTGATGAAACTTGGCGTTTGAAGAAGCTTATCATTGGATTCAAACACATAACGGATCATAAAGGTCAGACTATCACAAATGTGTTGCTAGAATGTCTTGCTGATTGGGGAATAGAAAAGGTTTTCTGTATAACAGTAGACAACGCTACAGCTAATAGTTCAGCTTTGAGGAAGTTTCATACTAGTTTTACCTTAGTCTCGGATTAATCTCTAGTTTTAGATGGGGAATTTATGCACATGAGGTTTAGTGCCCACATTATTAACTTGATAGTGAGACAGGGAATGACTGAAATTGATGAGAATGTGTCTGCAATCTGAAACGCTGTCGCCTATGTTAGATCACACACGAACATGATACGGTCTTTTGAGCTGAAGGTAGATGCCGGAAGGCTTAGCAGAGAAAGCCTGCCACTGGATGTTAAAACGAGGTGGAATTCTACATATTTGATGTTGACAACAGCTCAGAATTTTAAGGTAGCTTTCGACAAGATGGAAGCAGAGGACAGGCTCTATAACGATTATTTTAACGAGATTGACAATGGAGTCAAAAGGATTGGACCGCCTCAGTCTATGGACTGGAAGAAAGTATAAAATATTTGCTGGTTTCTTGTCATCTTCTACAACTCGACATTGGTGGTATCAGCATCTACTTCGGTGAATGCGCGCAAGTGTTATGAGAAGATCTTCACAATCGCAACAAATTTGTTGGCACTCAGCAACAGCTTTGATTCTGACTTGAAGTCTAAGGCTGCAGAAATGTTCAAGAAGTTCGACAAGTATTGGGATGGTTTGAAAAATATGAACATGATGTTGATTGTAGCAACCGTGTTCCACCCCACCAAGAAGCTGGAGCTTGCGAAGATGTGTTTTGAAGAGCTATATGGGAATGATTCTATTGAGTCTATGAAGATGTAAGATTTCGTGCTGAATGTTTTAAGAAGCTTGTTTAAAGAGTATAGTGCAAGATATGGAAATGGTAATTGGCCAGATGATGAAGCCGGACCGTCTCAAGCTACACAATCATCACAGTCTTCTCAGTCTTCTCAGCCTCAGTTTTTTTGATGGAATTGAATTAGTTGACGATGGGCTAGGTTATCAAAGGATGGATCTTAGCTACAAACAAAAGCTCAACGAAATAGAAGTCAAAGACAAAAGAGATAAGTTGAAAAGGTATTTGAAGGAAAGTATGGAGAATCCCGATTTGATGGTTGGGGTCGAGTACGATGTCTTATCATGGTGGAAGAAAAACAATGGCAAGTATAATATTCATCTGAGATTGCTCGTGATGTTTTTGCAATGCAAGTATCATCTGTTGCTTTTGAGAGTGCGTTAAGCACTAGTGGATCCTAGGTCCACATAGAAGTTGTCTCAGTCATTACATGGTCAAAGTTTTAATGTGTACAGAGCAATGGCTGCAACAAGACATTCGGATGGAGTCAAGAGTGCTTACAAATGCACAAGTACTTGCTGATATTGAAGAGGTGGATAGGCTTGAGAGAGGTATAAATTTCTTCTCTTGTTTCCATTGTTTACTTTATTAACTAATCACTATGCATATTAACAATCACTTGCATTTTTTTCAGAATATGAAGTCCCACGACAAAACTAAGTTACTTTGATTCACTCGTCCAAAAAGGTTAGTATTTAGTAAGAAAATTTTGTAGATTGTGAGTTTGTGACTAAGACTAACAACCACTTACTTATATCTTATATTTTAAGTTTCATTGCAGGATCTATATCAAACAAAAAGCCTTCAATTTTATTGGAATTTTTGGACTCTCGCAAGTCGCAACTCTACTTTTTTTATTGTGTTTTAGATTTTTCTCGGTTGAACTATGATCTCAGTTTGGTTATTTTGTTTGAGTTTGAACTCAGTTTGGTTGTTTTGTTTGAGTTTGAACTCACTTTGGTTGTTTTGTTTGAGTTTGAACTCAGTTTGGTTATGTTGTTTGAATTTGAACTTAGTTATGAATTGAAACTTTGTTGTTGTTATTTTTTAAAGATCAATATTTAACTTATTTCTTTATGTTTATGTGTTGTTTAAGTAGGTTGTTTGAGTAGTTTGGTTTTTAAAACAGTTACTTCGGATTGAAAAAATTCGATCCACTCCGATCCGATTAGATATTCGGACTAAGACAGATTGTTTATTGTTAGTCCGAACCGATCCGAATTCGAGTGGTTCCGAACCGATCCCGATCCGAATTATAGTAAAATCCGAATGGATCTTCGTAGGCTAAATCCAAAAATCCGATAATCCAAATCACCCGATCCAAACCCGAACCGAAAACCGAACACCCAAGACTAGTACTTACATTATGAACCCCAAACAAATATGCCATAGCATATTCCTCCATAATTAACAGTTTAAGATTTGGTCAAAAGGAAATTACAACTTCCTATCAATCTCAAATCAATGTACCGTTACTAATTTTTCATTTATAATAAATCATATATATATATATGTATGTACGTACACTGGAGAAAATAACAAAGTTTTTCAAAAGAAATAGCCATTGTCTAAAAATGTTTTGGGTGAAGTTTTTTGTTTTAGCGGCTTTTGTGTTAACAAGTAGTGTTGCAAAGCCTGCAGCTAGAGAGTTGTCTGAAGAAGAAGATTTCGAATTGGAGAGACAGCTTAAGCTTATGAATAAACCGTCTGTTAAGACAATCAAGGTTCGTGTTTAATCTTATATTTTCCATCATTTTTGTATATATTCTTGTACATATATATAGTGTTTTAAATTATTAATTCTTCTAATAAAGAATAATGTTTAATATATTTTTGATGAAATAGTCAATTTATGTTTTGCAGACTGAATATGGTGAGATCTATGATTGTGTAGATTTTTACAAACAACCTGCGTTTGATCATGCTCGCTTGAAAAACCATGCTTTTCATCCTGAGGTAATTATAATTTCTTATGATATTTGAATTAATAGTATTCCAGGCTTCATTTTGAATTAACATAATTTGAAGCTTTTCGATTCTTTTTTTCCTAGATGAAACCAAGCAACATCATGTATATACCAGAGAAAGTTAAAAATGAAGAAAACGGACGTTATGACAATAAAACGAACTTCGAATCCGTTACCTTAATTGGAATTGGATGTCCACGTGGCACAGTCCCAATTAGAAGAACTACCAAAGACGACCTAATAAGACAAAAAAGATTCAACCAAGTGTTTGACTCAAATATTCACCCTCAGACCAAATCCGAACCGGGTTTGCACGTGCGTAAATTCTCCTCTCTTTTTTCTCAATTTATTTTATTAATAATATATATAGACCAAATGTATTTATATTTTCTTTAAATAAGTTACATTAACATATTTCTATAATTTGTGAATTTTAATAGTATGCAGGAGGTAGAGTCAGATGGAAGTGGAATACAAGGAATTTAGCAGGAGGAGTTGCTCGTTTCAGTTTATACCAAACTCCATTTGTTAACCAACTTCAATTCTCTTCTGGTTTAATAAAAGTTTCCAACGGTACAGATTTCATCAAGGCTGGTTGGACGGTATAACATCATTTCAATAGCTTTCAAATAAGTTATTTTACATAAATAATTAATATCCCCACAAGTAATTATTATTTTGCTTAAATTACTTTTATACAGGTGAATCCGACGCTATATGGAGATGACCATTGCCGTTTTTTCTCATATTTGCATGTAAGCTATATATACATCACGTTAAATGTTTATACTTTTGGTTGTATATATATTTTTTTCTTTATTTTACTAATATATGATTTTATTTTCAATGGATAGACGCGTGACGACCATTGTTTCAACACGAACTGTCCCGGGTTTGTGATAACGAATCCCGATTTTCCTCTTGATTATGGATTTCTCAAAGTTTCAAAGACTTATGTGGACATAGTCGAAGCTAGAATCCTCATTTTCCGAGTAAGTTAAACTATTAAAAGTAGTAGTTACTCATTAACTACTTTTTATGTTTTTTTATAAACATGACTAAACTTATGTTTTTTCTCTCTCTCAAGGATCCATCTGATGGAAGCTGGTGGTTATGCATAGGAGATAAGCCAATAACTATTGGTTTTTGGCCGTCTGACATCTTCACCGATCTAGCATACAATGCAGACGATGTTTTTTGGGGCGGCGAAATTTTCACTCTCCCATACACGAAGAGTAGTCCAATGGGCAATGGAATAAGTGCTCACTACGATGATCCGAAACTTTACGCATACGCTCGTAGTTGCTCAGTAGTAGATGCTGATAAAGAGATAATCGTTCCTGTGGTAGGAGGTGTTCATGAGGTTGTAAGCGATATTGGTTGGGATTATGTGAGACACAACTATCTTAGATTTAAAGATTGGGGGCTGATTATAATGTTTGGTGGCCCTTCAAAGATTTTTGGAAAATAACAAAGATGTAAAATCGTGGGAAATACATTGTGGCTCCGAAAGTTTTTGTTATGCATCACATTCATCTTTTAATTTTTTGGTTATATATGCAAAAAATATGGTTAGGTATAAACGTTGTTAAATGGTAACGGATTAACGGTGATATATAACACAAGGTCTTAGCTAGTGAAAAATTGACATCATTTAAACAAATTTTTTTTTCTTATAAAATCTACATAGACATTTGCCAAAAAAAAAAAAAATATTCTCGAATACACTTAATTTAAGTTTATGTTTTTAATATACACTAACATCCTAAATCTTTTATTTGTATAACATTTTTGATCAGAATTGACCAAATTGTCTTTCCAAAGAAATTTATGACTAGATGAGGAGGTAGAAGAAGATACGTCGGAAGTGTCTTGGAGGAGGCGAAGGAAGAGACGTCGGAAGTGGCAGTGTCGTCGGGAGAAGGTTTACGGCAGTGTTGCTGGTTGAGGAGGTGGAAGAGGTGGAGGAAAAGATATCATAAGCGTTTTGAAGGATCGCAATTATTAGATGTGATATAATTAGGTGAAAAACTAAAGAAATCCAAACTAAAACAATAATAATGGTGGGAAAAAAAATCGGCAGAAATTAGAATTTGAGTGCCGCAGAGATAAAGAAGGAGATGAATGTAAATTTAGGAAGATTTTCCTAAAACGTATAAATTAAGGAAGACATTACATGAATTTATAAAAGTTTTTATAAATCATATAACTAATTTTGTTTTTGTTAATTTATACATCTCAAATTCAGAAAACCTTTCCAGAAAGCCTTTACCCAATTCATGAAACCCTTCCACAATCACGAAATTCTTCCACAGTTCATAAATTTTCTAAACATTTAGAAAAATTTTCTTAAATTATATGAAATGATGTTAAATTTTAGTATTTGAAATGCCTTCCTAAAAAATTATAAAATATTAGCAGAATATAAAATATTTAAAAAGACTTTTTTAAAGGGCAAAATCAAAAAAATTAAATGAAAATATTAGGAATAGAAAAAATTTAACTTCCATGTTATATTTGTTTTTTCAGCGTAATTATCGAAATTACCAAAAGAAAAACTACACACTATTTTTGTCCTAATTGAAAAAAAAAACATTTCAACGTCAATATATTGGTTTAGTTCGGTTCACTCTGAATCTCCACTATACCAGGATACAAAACTAGAAAACCAAATCAACCGTTGGAATAGAGAAGAAGAAGAAGCAGTTTCTCAAAAGAAACCACCATTTTTCCTTTCGCGTCTCCGAGAGAGAAAGACTGAGAAACTTCTGAGAGAAATGGAGCGCGCAATGTCACTACCCTGCGTAATCGCCGGAATTCTCCTCATCGGAGTGTTTAACGAAGTCGACGGAACCCAGATTCTGTCGAAATCAAAGCTCCAGAAGTGTGAGAAGACGAACGATTCAGGGAATCTCAATTGCTCAACTAAAATCGTCTTGAATCTCGCTGTTCCCAGTGGATCCGTAAGCCTTTTGATTCCATATTAATTTTTCAACTTTTTCCCAATTTTGTGTTCATCAATTTTGTGACGGAATCAGAGCGGAGGAGAGGCTTCGATTGTAGCGGAAATCGTCGAGGTTGAAGATAATTCGAGTACCAATATGCAAACCGTACGGATCCCACCGGTCATAACAGTGAACAAATCAGCAGCTTATGCTATTTATGATCTAACTTACATTAGGGTAAATAATTTTTTTTATATACATTGCCAAAATGACAAAAACGGGTTTTTGGATTAAAGTTTGATTATCATCATGAATTTGTCTTTATTTTTTTGATTTAGGATGTTCCTTATAAACCTCAAGAGTATCACGTCACCACTCGAAAGTGTGAGCCTGATGCTGGACCAGACATTGTACAGATATGCGAAAGGCAAGGATGTTTTAATTACTCTTTTCTTGTTTAGTAGCTTTTGTTGTGTTGTGTAATGATTCATCTCTACAGGTTACGAGATGAGAAAGGTAACGTTCTGGAGCAGACTGAACCAGTGTGTTGTCCATGTGGACCGCAGCGAAGAATGCCTTCATCTTGTGGAGACATTTGTATGTGTTTCTATAAGGTTTCAAGATTCACTCTTCTTTGTATCTTGTTAAAAGAGTATTTTGAACTCTCATTTTTTCCTTCACTTGGCTTTTGATTAGTTGAGAAGATGTTCAAAGGAAAGGCAAACACTGCGCATTGCCTTCGCTTTCCTGGTGACTGGTACAAAAACCTTTACATGATCTTTCATCATCTGTTCTTTACGTTTCTTGAATTTTTGCCATTTGATCTCTCTCTCTCTCCTCTAGGTTCCACGTGTTCAGCATTGGACAACGGTCTCTAGGGTTTAGCATCCGTGTGGAGTTGAAGACAGGAACTAGAGTTTCAGTATGTTTACTACAGTTTTCAAGCTTGCTTTGTTCCGGAATCATTCTGCCTTTATGAATTTCATTTTCTTTATCTAATCTCAGGAAGTGATCATTGGCCCTGAAAATAGAACAGCTACTGCAAATGATAACTTCCTAAAGGTTAATCTCATAGGAGACTTTGCTGGTTACACAAGCATCCCTTCTTTCGAAGACTTCTTTCTTGCAATTCCAAGAGAGGTAAAAATTGCTTACACACTTGAGAGTAAACTTCCACTCGGTAATAATGGTTAAGAGAAAATTTTCCGGTGAAAAACAAAGGCGGCTGCAGAGGGACAACCAGGGAACTTAGGCGGGAACTATTCAATGTGGATGCTGCTTGAGAGAGTGAGATTTACATTAGATGGCTTAGAATGTAATAAAATCGGTGTTGGCTATGAAGCTTTCAACGCTCAACCAGATTTCTGCTCTGCACCATATTGGAGCTGCTTGCATAATCAGCTATGGAACTTCCGCGAGGTATTGTGATTGTAAGTTGTAAATGTTTCATAGAGTTTACTGTATCGTATTGTTTTCGCCGATAACGAGTTTAGTTTCCAGTCAGATGTGAACCGGTTGAACCGGCACCAACTTCCTCTGTATGGACTTGAAGGAAGATTTGAGAGGATCAATCAACATCCGGTTATGTTTCAGCTTTCTTAATTAGCCTTTTAAATCAGTAGAATATGTTGTTTTGGCTTATCTGATTTTGTTCTTTACATGATACAGAACACAGGGCCTCACTCGTTCTCTATTGGAGTTACTGAAACACTCAACACAAATCTATTGATAGAACTAAGAGCTGATGATATTGAATACGTATACCAGAGGTAAAAAAGTCTCCAACTTTTTAGAAATTCTGATATTATTAAGTAAAGTAAGTAACGTTTTCTGTGGTTGCAGGAGCCCTGGTAAGATTATAAACATTGTTATACCGACATTCGAAGCACTTTCACAATTTGGAGTTGCTTCAGTCACAACCAAGAACACCGGTGAAGTAGAAGCATCTTATAGCTTAACGGTAATTACTTTTTTAAAAACTTAATCTTATCAGAAAGTTTTCTCGATGTATTAATCGCATCTTGTTTCTTCATTGCACAGTTCGATTGCTCCAAAGGTGTGGCTTTTGTTGAGGTAACTAACTATCATTCAATCTTTTATAAGAACAAGTTTTGTTAGGAAGATAATGATATAAACTGATATTGTCTCAGGAGCAATTCTTCATAAGTAAACCAAAAGAAGTGACAACTCGATCTTTTAAGTTGTACCCTACGAAAGATCAGGCTGCAAAATACTTATGCACAGGTGATTTTTTAGTCCTTAACACATTGACTTTATCATAACAAATGCTCTGTTTTCTTGCATAAAATTGCTCTGTTTTCTTTGTGTGTAGCTATACTAAAGGATTCTCAGTTCAGCGAAGTAGACAGAGCCGAGTGTCAATTCAGCACGACAGCTACCGTACTCGACAATGGAACGCAGGTTCCTCTACAGTTTCAGTCTGATTCTTGATTAGTGTCAATGTCGAGATAGATCATTGAGTGAGCGTTATCTTCAATCTTGCAGGTTACTAATCCATTTCAAATTCCAGAGACTCATCCTAGAGGCTTCTTTGAATCGATTAGGCTAATATGGACGAAACTCGTGAATGGTTTGATCGATTTCATCACCGGAGAAACTTGCAGGTTACACACTTTTTACTAAATTCTTTCTCCTGAAACTTTCTTTGAAGAATGATGATGATGATGATGACTTGAATATGAATCAATACAGAAACAAATGCTCGAGTTTCTTCGACTTCAGCTGCCACATTCAATACGTCTGCTTAAGCTGGATGGTTATGTTCGGCCTCCTCCTCGCCCTGTTTCCAACCAGTAAGCGTTTCAAACCGAAACCGCGAATCGCTATCAATAACTATAACACGAACTAACTTACGGTTTTTGTTTATGTAGCTTGTGTTCTTCTCTGGCTCTTGCATCAAAAGGGACTATTTGATCCATTCTACGACTGGTACGAAGATCATTTTGATTCTGATCATCATAGATTGTTATTACACACCAGAGAAAACGCTTTAAACCGCCATCATCATCGTCCTCACCATCACAAGCAGCATCGCCATGGTTTGGAAACCAGTAACCATCATCGTAGGAGGACACACAACAACCACAGACGCAAAAACCATCATCATGGGCAAGAAGACGACGACGTTTTGCAAAAGATGCTTGAGCGTGACCACAACGATTCTCACTATTACCGCCAACTTCACCGAGTCCACAGAGATAACAAGCAGAAGCAGCGTAGGCGAGGAGGAGGCAAGCACGGGATCGTCGTGCCACGTGATGTGCACGTGGATAGACGGAGGAGAGAGAGGCCGAGGGAGAAATAAGAGTAGCTATTGTTGTTATTATGTGGGAAGAAGAATATTTTTGTATATGAGTCACTACTTACTACTGATTTACATTACTAATTGGTATTGTATTTGTCAAATTAGTAACTAGTTGAGTTTTCTTTTTTCTTTTTTTACGTGTAGAAGGAAAACGAGTAATTTGGAAATTTGATAAGAAATGGTTTTTGGAATTTTAAATAACGATTTACATTACTAACTAGGTGGTCGGTCCGCACATATGTGCAGGTATAATGTTTTTGATATATATAGTTAAAACATTAGTATGTTTGTTGTTTTAATATTTTACAACTTATTTCCAAAACTAATGTAAATTTTTTATATTTATGATATTTGTAATAATATATAATCAAAAATATAAAAGTTAGATTAAATAATATTAAATTCTTATAATATTTTTTGAATATTTTTTATAATATGTTTTATTTCTCTTTACACAATCTACAATTTTACACAATCTACAATATGTTTTTATGTCTTACATAATATGAATTTGAAATACGTATATAATATATTTTTAAGTATATATTTTTTTCTTTCTCTCATTTATTTTCCTTTTTTTCTAGTTCTCTTCATCTCTCGAAAATCAATAAAATACAAAAATTCACTTATATTAACATATATGCAAATAATGAAATACATTAAAGCAAATGAATGTTCTAGAAAAATAATGGAAGAATGTTAACCTATATATTTATATTAATATGAAATTAACAATTGAACAAATAAATTTAGCGAATTAAGTAAAAAATTAAAAATCTATATATATATATATATTAATATGATATAAAAATAAGTTAATATGTTATAATTTTACATTTAATAATATATACATGTATTTATTATTGTAGTATTTTATATAAAATTATAGATATATTTTGCATGGTAAAAGAGATAAGTTAGAGCATCTCCAACCCTACTCCATTTTTAATTCTAAATGCTATTTTGGAGTAAAATCCTCTCCAACCCTACTCTATTTTCAATTCCAAAATGGAGTAAATCTAAATTCTACTCCATATTTGGAGTAGATCTAAACTCTACTCCATTTTGGAGTTAGAATTTTTTATTTGCAAATTAATCATTTAGATTTAAAATAATTACATTTTATGCTATTTAATATTTATAAAAAAATATTATAAAACTGATAATTATGAATATTTAAACACTGTAATTATTCCTAAAACATTACAAAATATAATAAACTTTAAAATACATAATAAGTGCTGAAATTAAGATAAACAATATAAATAAATTTAAGACAACAAATATTAAAAATATTAATGGTAAATTTTTTAGTAATAGTAATGTTTAAATAAGAATTTCAAATGCTTTTTTGTGATGTTATGTAATTTTTATTATTTGATAAATATTTAAGATATAGTTTTTGAAAAAAATTGTAAATAATAAATAAGTGGGATTTATTTGTAAATTTTAAAACTAAAAAGTATTTATGATAAAATTGAATAAGAATATATTTAGAATATTCTTTTTTAGAGTAAAAAATAGAAAAATATATTGGAGCAAAACACAACTCCATTTTGGAGTTACTCTATTTTGGAGTAGAAAATGAAGAAATACATTAGAGATGGTCTTAACATATTAGAAAAACATATAACTTTATATTTTACGATATATATATGTTTCTTTCCGATTACAACCTTTAAGTACTAAAAATTGAAAGAATATACAAATATTCTTATTATGATTTTCTTTCTGTTGAGGTTTCTTGGCGATATCTTAGGGATATCGCGTTTGAATTGTAACAGATAGTATATATAAACCTTGTAAATTGATTGATGAACTCAAGGGAAATATACAGATTTTCATGGTATCAGAGCTAGTCTCCTCCTGAATTCTCTTTTCCCTCATTTTATTTTTTTTTTAAAAAAATTCTCTTCTCTTTTAAACCTTTTCAATGGCTGCACCTGCACCCGCCGCTGTGATTGAGAGAGCCTATGGAGTGACGAATATCAGATCGCACATCCCACTCGTCCTAGATCTTGACGACCACAACTACGACGCTTGGAGAGAATTGTTTCTTACACATTGCTTGACATTTGATGTGTTAGGACATGTTGATGGAACTTTAGTTCCAAACGATGCTAACGATGCGGCTTGGAACAAACGCGACGGTCTCGTAAAACTGTGGATCTATGGTCCTCTGGACCAACCACTTTTCCGATCTTCATTTAAAACCGGTGGCACGGCAAGAGACATCTGGGTCCGAATTGAAAACCAGTTCAGAAACAATAAGGAGGCAAGATCGATACAACTTGACAACAAATTGAGGACAAAGGAGATCGGAGACATGTCGATTCAGGAATACTGTCAAAGTCTGAAATCTATCTCAGATCTTCTCTCGAATATCGATGCTCCAGTAAGTGAAAGGACTCTTGTCATGTACATGCTCAATGGGCTAAACGAGAAATTTGATTGCATTATCAATGTAATCAAACATCAGAAGCCGTTCCCAAGTTTTGAAGATGCTAAAAACATGTTGGAGCAGGAAGAATAGAGACTGAAGAAGTCTCACAAAGTTTCAGCGACTCATAAAGATCATGCTTCTTCCTCTACTGCGCTTGTGGCCACAGCTCCTATTCCACCCTTGCAGCAGCCACCATCGCAGCACCAACCAAGGTTTAACAACAATCGTGGAAATCGTCGACATGGGAATCGCGGGAGGAAGACACAACTACAACTACCAACATCGTCAACCTAATATGAACTGGGCTCCTCCTCCCTATTGGCCAGGCCCATTTCCCAATTGGCAAGCCCAACAATTTAGCCCATGGATGTCTTATCCATATGGAGGTTTCAGTTCACGTGGTTTTCCAAGTGGGTTTCCAAGCCCACGTCCAGCAAACACATCTTCCACCAGAGGCAAATTGAAACGTCCTAACCCGGAAATCCAAACTGCGGTAAGGATTTGACTCGGCCACTTCCTAGCCAGTCTCGGGTATTTTTAAATTTTTCCCATACTTAGTCAATTTTAGCGTTTTCTTTCGATTCATTCAAGCTATTTTAAACACAAATGCATTACTTAGGTAAAAACGAGGTTCGAGCATACAATGAAGGTTCGCTATAAGCTACTACAGTTTGCTATAAGCTATTACATTGTTCTACTCGACCATAGTCTACCCAAGCCTAACATCCTTCTTCCTTGCCTTAGTCTCGCGGTCCAGAACAGTTCCCAACACGGGCTAAATCACCTGCATCCACGAAAAGGAGGCATAAGCAACAGAATTGCTTAGTGAGAGCGGTCATCCCGTCCCACTTAGCTACAGTAAAGAAAATCGCAATCAACAGTCTATTCAATCATCCAATAATCACTTAAACAATCAATGATCGGCTAAACAGCCCTCATATGGCCTCGGGCCTCACTTTTGGCATCGGGCCTTCTATGTTCATCGGACCTCATCGGCTATAAAGCCTAACTTGGCCTCGGGCCTTTACTATTATGCAGAAAACAGAATATAACAGTAAAGGTACCATAGAACAGTTCAAGCAATCAGTAAACAATCTATGCTAGATCACGAGTCTAAACTATAGCCCACGGTCGCGCACTCACCTTTGTTTCTCGGCTGTTGCAGATTCAAGAAGATAGCCGACGGTTTTCAGCAGAATTCCCCGATTCCGAATGTTTCTCTCAGACGCAGTCGAAGTTTCTCGGCGATAGACGGAATCACCCGGCTATCTCACGATCGGATTCGATGAACTCTCGGATATTTCTCGGTGAAAATGTAAACTCTCGGATGAAATCTCTTTCGGTTGTTCTTTCTCTTTTCTCTTTGTTTTCTCTCGGATACTTAGGCAGAATGACGAAGTTTCTGTGATTCCCCTTGTTAAATGACGGTTCTCGGATATAACTGATCCATAAATCTATCCGCTGCGTTTTCCCTCGAGTAACCGAATGCCAGAACCGTTCCCGCACTTTTTCCCTCGATCAATTAACTTAGCCGGACCAGATTAACGTTCCCATTCACTTGAACCGACGAAATCCGCTTGGTTCACTCAAATAGCCGGTTCTGATTGATTTTAGCCGATCAATTCTCTCGGATGAAACCGATAACTGTTCCCGCCAATCTTGTCTGTGCCTTTTTCGATAACTCCCTCGGATATAACCGCTCCCGCTCGGCTATTTATTAATTTCTCGGATATTTTCATAATTCATCCGATAATTCCACAAAGTCCTTCGACCATCCCAGCTCAGCTCCAACAAACATAACCGTCCTGTCCGAATCCCGACCAAAGGTCCGAGAAACACGGTTTGTCTGAAGCTTCCTTGTCCAAATCCCATTTTCACTCGGACATACTTAGCTTAGCTCCCTTCTAGCTCGGACTTCAGTAAACTGATCTGTCGGAAATCCGACCAACTATCCGAAATTCGCGGACTGACGGATTTTCACTTGTCCGAACCATTCCTTCCCGGCTAAACACTCGAATCAGCTGAACTGACCCGTTCCAGCTCGTTTTAGCTCGGCTATACCTCTTTCCGACCGATAGCCCAATCTTTACTCGGACAACCCCCTGATTTTTCATATTCATGGCCTTAATCCGACTGATTCAGTTTGATCCAAGGATCACAGATGTTACAACTCTCCCCCCCCTTAGCCGAGACTCGTCCTCGAGTCTTCTTTGGTCCACTTAACTCCGGATTTTCATTAAGTTTATCGAACCACTTAGGAAATTCTGCTTTTATTCTCGCCTCTGGTTCCCAGGTTACTTCTTCTTCACCATCACAATCCCAAACGACCTGGATCATCTGAACTTTCTTCCTACGTTCAGCCTTAACTTTCCTTCCCACAATCCGGACTGGTCTCCCTTCAATGGTCATGTTTTCCTTAAGTCCGAAGGTGGTTCAGGCACCACGTTATCCCGGTCACTTATGCATTTCCTTAGCATAGAAACATGGAACACCTTGTGAGACTGTTCCATAGACGGTGGCAAATCCAGCCTATAAGCCACTGGTCCGATCCTCTCAAGAATCTGATACGGTCCCATGTACCTCGGACTTAACTTTCCATTCAGTGAAGCTCAGTCTTTTCCCTTGTAGGTGACTGTCTTGAGGTAAACCATGTCGCCCATTGCAAATTCTAACTCTTTCCGGCGCTTATCCGCATAACT